GTTTGCTATGTGAACTAGTAATACCACATCAACTTCTTGGTTACAGTTATACAGAGACTGGAACAAAATCTCGCCTAGTTGGGTGATTTCTAAAAATGTATCACCAAATTTAATGACAAAAATTAGACGTCAAAGCAACTGTCAGCTTGGCGATATCCCGTCAGTTTAACGATATGACCATTTACTTAATTTTATTTTTCCGGTAGTGCATCGCTTTTTCATTACACTATGTTACATTATACAAGAAATACTATAATTTTACTAAAATTAATTTATATACGAGATTTATATACGTATATACAAATTTCGTAACAATGCCCCTTTCCAAAGAATGCACGTACCGGGCAGTGCAATCCCTGAACCGGAATCCATTCTTATAAGTAAGAGAATGAATTGATGTCATGTAGCCCTTGTGTCGTAACGAGTCTTTATCGGCGTCGTCAAACTGGTTCGTTCTCGTGCAGAATTATGCATCACTTCAGACCGTACCTGGAAATCTTGAATGTACTCCTCAAGCGATGAAGGCACATCCGATGGACAACCAAACAAGAGATAAGGCAAATGAAGTTCCCAACCAAAGAGTATCTGGTTATTAAGATGGTTCGATTAAACCTATCTACCATGTCGCTTAACTCCGGATATAAAGGTGTCGTTTGTATTACATCTATGCCGAGTAGTATATAGAGTTCTTTAATTACCGTCGAGATAGAATTCCTTGATTTTAATGTATCTGAAGAGGCATTCGAAATCTGGATCCAGTACCGTAATTTTGCCTCTGCTACCGTGATAGCCCCTTAATCTGGTTTAGGATATGCTTCAGGTCACTTTATGAAATAATTAACGGCAACGAAGATGTATTTTTTGCCCTCATTAATTCGTTGCAAAGGTCTTAGGAAGTCAAAGGCGATGCGTTCAAAAGGCGGTCCTACACTGTAACGGTGTAGATTACGATCGGCTGCGTTTCTCCGGTCCTTTCCGGAACCGCATAGGCAGGGCTAGAACGGTACCATATTTGCAAGTCAACCTTTGCATAATACCAGTAGAACCGCAGTTGAACTATGTGCAAAGTCTCCATTACTCCGAAATACCCTCCTGTTGAACACTTATGTAGTTCTTTAAAAACTTCCGGGATCTTTAAACCGGGACTTTCAACCGGATCTTTAAAAATCTTTTCCGGGACCTGTCGTCAGAAGACCTCTCCATGATGTGATTCAAACTTCCGGTACAAAAGGCCATTTCGAATATGGAGTGGTCGCAGAAAGCCCAACAATATTTTATCGTAGGACTATCGATCGAAATACCCTGCCAGCTTGGTATGTTATTTGAAGATTCCACCAGATCGATTATGTGTTTAATATCACTTCTTCTGATTGGTCTTTCATGACTTCCTCTTCACTCCATGGGACTGGGTCAGACGATGTTGAACTTTAACTTGACGACCCACCCGATTAACAAGCTCGTATTTCGCTTCGAATTTGTAATAGTATCGATTGGATCTTCTAGACTGGGCGTCAACTTTTCCTTGTGACGATCCTTTCCTATGATGGATAGTGATGTCATATTCCGGGAATATCTGTATCTATCGTACTATTTGGCATTCGGGATTCTTGAAACTTAAAAGCTAGGTCAACAATGCATGATCTGTGCGAAGCAAGCATTTTCTGCCTTAGAAATAATGATGGAAATGTTCTTCGTCTTTAACTATGGCGAGCAACTAGTTTTAGTAACATAATAATTCTTCTCCGGTATAGATAGACACTTGCTTCACACCTTCGAGAGGTTAAAATCTTTGACAGGTAGTAGCCGTCTTTTCTCAGCCATTAGGGTGTATCTCTACCTGTCAATATCCACCCTTTAAATCAAGCGTTGAAAACCACTTGCCTCCAGAAAGAGTGTCCACCATGTCGTCTAGGAAGAGGGCAGTTGTCTTTTTTCGTGACCTTGTACAACCACTGATAGTTAACATAAAATCTAGTTGAACTGTTTTCTTTCTGACCAGGAAGATTGGAGAAACCCGAGGACTTGCTGAGGGCTGTATAACGTCGCTTCCTTGCATGTCCTTTAGAAGCTTTACACCTTTTTTCTGTTTAGTAGTTGGTAGACATCTTAGATATTGCTTGATTAGTCCATGATCCCGTATCAACGTTATCCTGTACCAATCTGGTTCGAGCTACGTCAGAAAGCATCTTGAATTTCCTGACTGACACATTCTTTTAGCACTTCTCTCTTCATCGCTTAGCATGCGGTAACTCCGCTGTTAGGATTTGCCATAACGAAGACTCGGAGGATTATTGGTTCGTTTAAAATTGCAGGTAGTGGATTGGTACAACTCCATGCATAAAGTATGTGCTAGTGCTCTGATATCGTCACATAAAATCAGTGGAAGTATCAAGATCACTGCCACAGATGGAAGTTTTTTTCACCTGAATGCCTAGCACTGGGTGAGTAGTAAGTTTGAAGAACACTAAGTTAATCATAACATCTGTTATGTATTAAAAGAGTAATAAACTTAGATCAGTTCAAGATTCCAACTGCTAGTTTTTTGTTGGAACAAAACGTAGTTATGTCAATTCCAAAGAAAGCTGTTAACCCAGTTTAATATTATGAAAATATTAAATTACACAATACTTTTAAATTATTTCATATAGTTAAATTTGATTAAGTAGTAATTTAATAACGTAAAGAAATTAAAGGTATGTTTTGCAAATAAATCTATAACTATGAAAAGTAATTCTTTATATTGTGTATCAATACTCATTCTGAAATAATGTTTAATACATTTTAAAAAGTGAAAATTTTCTTGTGGAATATGAAATATAAAAACATAATTGAGCTTGATCAAAGATGCGTGTAATATCGAAAGTGCTGATAAAAGCTGCAAGCATACACATTTTTTTAAGAAAATAGTTTAATTTTATCTAAATCATTCTAACAACATTTTAGTAAAATTAAAGTTTATTGTGATTACATCTTCATATTAAGTTCACATATAAATTCAACACATACATTGTTGCTTAATTTAATGTAATTTAAGTAATTGTTATATTGTGTAACCCATAATTACTTATACTATTAATATGATAGAAATTACTATATTGGATACTCATAATTTAAGTTTTATTAGTTTGTTATAAAATTTTGAGAAACTGATTTTCTGCCCCTTGCTTAAAATATTTTTCTGAAATTACATGAAAGTATGCATTCCGCCAAGATTGTAACAAATCATACAAAAGAGATCTTTTCTCTAATAGTTTATCGTGAGTTACTGTAAGGTGTAGTTTATTCTAGAATTATTCTAGTAGTGTTTGATTAATGAAAAACAGCAGAAATTTATATCACATAACTGAAGAATAAGTAAATTTCATTTTATTACGATTTTGTTATGAAACATCTTGGGCTGATTGCCTCTGAAATAAATTTTCTCTTCCTCAAATGAAGGATATACGAGGTGTGACACAATAAAAACGAGACTGTGTAGCTTGAAAAAAGAGTGAAGTTGACAAGAACTGTTTTGGTGATGTAATCCCACATACCTCTATCGATGCGGCCAGTTTCGACTTAACCAATCACACCAGTTAGGAGTACTGCGTCATTCATGAAAGTTGCCAAGTGCCCCACCCCCCCCACCTACCCAGCCCGCCCCGCACACAGACCAAAAGCCACAACTCAAAACCACCGACAGCCAACCAAAGCAAACATAACCAAGAACCAAAACAATACAATACGGCCCCCCACCACGAAAGCAAGCCACCCCACCCACACATACAACAACCGACGACCACTCACAGGGGACCAGGAGCCGACAACGACCACCCGCCAACAAAGATAAATGCAACTACCGCGTACGCACCCAAGCGCCCCAAACCCCAAGCACCCCCCAGTATACCAACAGCCCAACGCCCACACTACACCGCCGCAAAGGAACCCCACCCACATCTCAACCCAGGGCCGAGAACCCACCCCGCCCCCACCCCACCCCCCGGCCCACCCACAGTCATCCACAGCCGAGCCCAGCAACCACGCCCCCCAAACAGACCGAGAAGAGCCGGGGAAGAGAAACGGCCCAAACACACACACACCACGCAAAGCGAAAGCGCACCAGAGGAGCGTAACAAGCACCTCCCGCCCCCCCGCCGGCGCGCCAAGACGTCCCAGACCCCAAGGACCAGGCCCCCCGACACCCACCCACAACCACACACCCCGAAACCACCGAAACGGCAACAACCCTAAGGAACCACAGAAAACAGAAACCCAGATCCAGAAACAACACACACCAAAAGCAACCACACCCTTCTCTGCCGGTAAAAAAAGTCTAGTGAAAAAAGCCGAACAGCGAATCAACACCTAGTTTCCTTGTGAAACGTAAGAAAATCAGCCGCTGAGCATTTCAAAATGTTTAACTTATGCTATGTAGAAGCAACTTTGTGCTCGTGCACGCGTGGTTTGAATGGTAAGGTACAAAGCACACATGTCAAATCGCAATCCAAAGCAATGTTAATTGTCATCTTCTACACTAATGGAATTGCAATTATTGAGTTGGTTCCCAGCGGTCAGACTGTTAATCAACACAGCTACACTGAAGCACTAAAAAGACTTCGTGAAATTTTAAGGCCGCAGGGTGTATCATGAGTGGATGGCTTTTTACACCAGACAAGCCCGCTCACACGGCCCTATCTGTCAAGCAGTTTCTGACCAGCAAAAACATTACTGTGAAGGTGCATCCTCCTTATTCACCTGATTTGGCTCCATGCGACTCTTTTTTTGTTTCCTAAAGTTTATTGTTGCTTAAAGGGAAGCCATTTTGCCTCAGTTGAAGAGGTTCAGGTAAAAACGGTGAATCTCCTGAAAGGCCTTCCAAAAACCTCGTTCAAGGACTATTACCAGCAATGGCAGCACCGAATGAAGAAGTGTGTGAATGCTGAAGGGGAGTAAGTACTTTGTAGGTGAAAATGTCACGGAGAACTGATTCTGTAAGTACAATGATATATTGGACCAGTCTCTTTTTTTTTTTTTTTTTTTTTTTTTTTTTTCCCGGTGTGTGTGCGTGTGTCACACCTTGTATGTACCTTTTTCCCTAAAATTATGTTAAAATACGTATCCTGCCATAAAGTCGCTCTTAATGTTTTTTCCCTCATATCCCCCCTAAGAGCTACACTTGAAGAAGTATCCTATGAAGTTAATCTTTCCTGTGTTTAACAGGAACTTGTTCAAACCTCATTAATTAATTAAACTGGAAAAATTAACTTGCGAATGCTTGAGACTTTTGCAAAGCAAAGCTTTTTCCATAGTCTTGCAAAAGCAAAACAATAAAATAAATCGATTCTTTTAACTGCAGTAAATTGCTGCTATTCACACGTTCTTCGCTATACAGGGCTTAAATCCTGTATTCGAAGTCGTCATCTCCATAGTAACGTCTCCATATGCCTTGGAAATCAAGTTTGCTAAATTTCAGTTTATACCTTGATAGCGTCTTCTCTGTGTTGCTCTAGCTTGTTATTGAGCTTTACCAAAATGGGTTCTAAAAGCCAGAATCCTCCAGAAAGAATAGATAAACTGCCCATTATGTAATACATGCCATCGTAAGAACCTTTATTATCACGAAAATAGCCTATATGAAAGAAATGAAATTAATCACAGTTTCTATTCATTATTTTATAAATTAAAATTCAAAATCTAATTTACACTAGTACATTCAAATAATATTTAAGCATTTTACTTTAGGTAACATTTAGGAATTTTATTAGTAATATTTTTGTTATTTACACTTATCTCATTTGTTTGACAGTAACATCAGAACAAGCCTACAAAATATGTCGTGGCAAGAGAGCGAGATTGAGCCTGTCGTTGGCAAATGCCTTGAGCACCATCCAGATGTCAATAAGCCTCGCCGCATATTTAGAGTGCCTCTATGTAGCACAGATACTATACATTTACAAACATCCATGCCTTCTCCGAGATTCGAACCCAGGTCCTTCGGTACTGCAGTCAGCATCGCTAATCACTATCCCCGTTGGGCGGCCATATTTTATTTTATTTTAATCCATATTAACAAAGCAGAACAAAGGGGGTGGGGAATGACGCCAAATTTGTTGTTTAAATTTTTTTCTGTTCTCTTCCGTTTCTCCCCCTCTGTGGGTTGACTCAGGCGAACGTCTGGGAAGTACTGGTTAGGATCTATATCTAGGCAGTCTCAACCAAAGAAAGTCTATGTAAAGAAGGAAAGGCTCCATAGACGTAATGTAAACCAGTTTGTCTTCTACTCCGTTAGAAAGAGGAGGTACAATTCGCCAAGGGATTTGCGACGGGACATGTTGGTGAGAATTTCCTCCCCCTTTGTGAGTACTTGGTCCAAGATGTTTCGCCAGCGCCACGTGTACAGGAATGAGGAAACGGGTTAGATGAGCTCGTTTCTTTGAACTTGTTCGCGATCATTTAAGTCTAATTTTTCGTGCTTTTTGCTTACTAGTTGAACTTGTAATTAATCCATATCGCAGTTTGAGTCTGATTTTATATCTGTCCAATATGTAGGGAAAAAATGGAGTCACACACGTAAACTCTTGATAAACGTGACTGTCGAACTGCGACACTTCGAGCTCAGCTTCGAGCTTTGGAGCTTTTTTGGCTCAGATTTTCATGCCATGCGCATTTGTGTCCCTTTTTCGTTCGGAGCCACTCCTGCTGCTGCGAAGCTTTCCTTCTTAACAATCTATATTCTTTTTGTCTCCAACCCATTACCACCTCCATGGTCTCAACCAAGGGGGTCATAACCGACTTCACAAAAAAAAAAAAAAAAAAAAAAATGCTCTCGGGACAGAGTAAGTGTTGCACCTGTGGGGTCCGCACATTGTTCGATTGATCAGGGCGGGGTCGCACTTACTCTCTTTTTGCGCCTAATTAGGCCGCTTAGGTCGGGAGCGTCTCGTTCCAATCAGCTTGTTCTGTTCCGCTATGTACCCAAAATTTTCTTAATCGAGTTGTTAATCAAATGTTGAGTTGTTGCAAGCCTAATATGAACTCTCCTGAATTCATATTTGATACATTTACTCTTTTGAGATTTCTTTAACTTATTATAATAATTTTTAACAATTAACCAAATATTTTTACACAATCCTCTGCAAATAAATAAGAAAGACAATACAGACACAGAAAACGAAAACATTTCGAACCTTCTTTTTATAATTAAACGGTCATTTCCTTGCGTTGCACGTACCTGTCATTTGCCTGTTGACTTTTAAGAATTTTCACGTTGTCTGTTCTGTAACCTTAGAAATTAAAGTTACTGACCTAAAATTGCAGTAGTATATTACAGTAAAAGTGAAAAAAAAAAAAAAAAAAAAAAAAGACAGTTTTACTCTCCCGGATTTTGTCGGATTCGCGCGATACTTATGGGGTCCCACAAAATTTTTGTTATATTATGGGGTCCAGGGGTCGCGAAAAAATCTCAGTGATAAAAGGAGATTAGGACTGAAAAAAGTTTAAGAAACCCTGTCTTAGAGTATTGAAGAGGAACGAAATATGTTATTCATCTCTTATTAATCAACCCGGCTTAATGTTTTAAATACCTCTTGACAAGTCCCCTTTACTTACCCCTTGAGTTCTGTTTAAAACATAAAATAGGGATAATTAATTTTTAAATCTGTTTATTTACTTTCTCACGTTTTAATTTTTTATTGCTTCTTCAATTTTGAGGTTTTTACCATATTTGCATCCCGTCAATTAGACCTTTTGATGTACCTTAATTTTTTTTTTTTACTTTTAAGTGTTCGTCCCCTATACCTTCTTGCTAATCTCAATTTTTCCTTATTTTTGCTCTTTTTGAACTTAATCTTATATATATACATACCTAACACTATATCTAAGTCTATAAATATATAGTATCTATATATATATTATATATATATATTTGTATATAGTGTTAGTATTTCAGATATTCATAGTTTTGAATTGAACCGATATAAAAAATTATCGGTCACTTTAAAACTATGAATATATATATATATATTTGGTATATAGCTATATATATGTATATTTGTATATCAGTGTTGTTTTCAATATCATACGTTTGTTAAATGACCGATATAAAAAGTCCCAACTTTCAGTTCAAAAATGTATGTGATTCTCAAGCGAAAAACTAGATTAAATTGAGTCAAAAAAAAAAAAAAAAACATTAATGACTTGTTAGATGACGAACTGTTTAAAACATTTCGTTAAACATTATACTTTTGCAACTTTGTGCCTGAATGCTGGCGTAAAATATTTATGTTAACTTAATTTGAGATATTAGACTTGTTAGCAAAATGAATTTAAAATATTGTTCGAATTTTGAAGATTATTAGAAGGCAGGGGAAAAAGAATTCATATCGAAAGCTAAATTCCATAGCAAAAACGGAATCAATACGCTTTTTATCCAATACATTGGTTTGGTTTTGGTTTATTTTATTAGTTCAAAGCATCCAATGATACGCCCTGCAAGCCAGCCCTTTCGCCAGTATTCGAATCCTGGACCGAGCTACCAGTGTTCAGTGACTTTCTCAAACCGCTCGGCCGGACTGGTGGCTCATCAGTACATTGGAACACGTATTTAAGTGTTATTAAAAAATTTTAATCTTATATAAAAGTGGATGTGTGCATACATATGAACAATGAATCAATAGCTTAATCTGGTGACTAATCTTTCTTGATTAATGTAACTAATCTTTATTGATTAATGTAACTAATCTTTCTTGATTAATGTAACTAATCTTTTTTGATTTCTTCTAATTTTATAACAAGCCCACGAAATTCATCGTGGCAAGGAGGCAAGATTGCGCTTGTCGTTGGCAAGAGCGTAAGGCACTATACAGGTGACAGTACGCCTTTGCTCATTTCCTCCCAGTTTTGAAGAAAAGCACTCCGGGGTACAGGTCCGAGGGTCTACTACCCTCTTTCCCTACCACCTACCTTTCGGCTTGCCACATATTTAGAGTGCCCCATATAGCACAGACATTATACATTTAAAAACATCCATGCCTTCTCCGAGATTTGTATCTGGGCCCTTCCGTACGCAGTCAGAATCACTAACCACTATCACGGTTGGACATCAAATATATCGTTTTCAGGACAACATATATTTTGCATGACATTTAAACTTGGATTTTAAAACTCTAATGAATTTCATCACAGAACAGAACAACCCATTCTTACCAATTAGGGATGGCACTCCAAGAGGAACCAGTCCTGAAGCAAAACCGTAACAACCCATTGCTACTGATTTTTCGTCTTTTTTCACATGCTTATATACAAGGACTGGTATGCGAACCATCATGCTTCCAGCTGTCATTGAATAGAGAGCTAGTGACAACAAGTATGTGGCTAGACTAGAAGTCAAGGGCAGTAACATAATGAAGATACCTTCGAGAACTAATGTCAGGATCATATAGTGTGGGATGGTCATGAAGTTTTTGTCTGTTACCCAGCCAAAGCAAAGACGACCTGTGGTATAGAATGAATATATAAATATTTAGGTAATCATAATTATTTTTTACAAAATTTAATATGGAAAAATGAAGTATTATAATTACCAAATATATCTCCAACAGCCATGGCGTGTACTAAGTATTTTCCTATATACTCTGGTAAACCTTTGTCTCTAGCATAATCAACTGCACTGGTCATGATAGGAATGAATATCAAAACATATGTAGCATTACAAACGCATAATAGTATAAAAATGGGGTTTTTATAAAGTCTGACTATAGTTTTCATATTTTCCAATAAACTTTTTGGTTTTTCAGGGTGTGAATTTTCTTGTTTTGTCTCAATTTCTTTCTTCAGAGAATCCTCGCACAGATCGTTACGTGAAGTTTGACGATCCGAGCTTTCTTCAGGCATTGGAAATATATTCTGAAAAATAAAATTATAATATATGATTCAAAAATTTAAACTGGTATTAAATAGTTACGAAATTTAAAGTGTAAATAACTCACATTATGTCACAGAGAAAATATTTCACCATTAAAATTTTGCGGCAGCATAACGTAAATGCCATGTTAGACAGATAGGATATGCAAATTATTCTGTTTACAGTGAATCACGGGATCTGAAAAGGCGACAAAATAGAGAAGTGCTAATTTCTGAAGACAGTTTGGGATTTTTTCATGTTGGGGGGAAACAGAAATTCCATGCTCATCATCGAAAACATTTTTATTCCATCATCGAAAACATTTTTATTAACCTAATACGTTACTTCTACTACATCACCTTTATTCATCTGCCGCTTCATAATCTCTTTTCATTTACCGCATAGCCGCTTGGTCTGTGTACAACCGAGTACTTTCGGTATTTCAAGGAAATTTAAAGTTTTCAAAACTGTGAGTCGTATTTGAAGACAATGGTTTGAAAGAAACCTAAATCCTAGTAATAAGACTGAAGTCAAAAAACAAACACCACCTTGCATTTTCTGATGCAAGTGACGTTATGCAATAATGACCATGTATAATCTATTGATGTCGGCGTTCCTCGGGACAAGATTTGTGGTAAGATCGACGCAAACAGTAATTTGGTGATTTATTGAGATAGGTTTGAAGTCAAGCTCATTTTTGCGAGAGCTGTCATTATACATATCATCAAAGTTACTTGGGAATATGGATTTGTCTCATCATTTTGGGATGGTCTTTGGGATGAGTTTGGATTAGTTTATTTGATTATGGTGTAGCGGGCGAGGGTTATCTCCGAGTGAGAGTTTTGAAATAACGTGGCAATCGGATTTGTCGTTACCTCACTAATAAACATTAAACTACAGCGTTGGATCATGATTTACAGTATTGTTACAAATTTTGTATAAATACGGATAATTTTTGTGAAGTTATTGTATTTTTCTGTGTAATGTAATATGAAAATCTAGAGAGAGGATGCTGTTCCGGAAAAATACGAATACGGGGCAAGTCTGTTTAATATTGAGTAAATGACTCTCTCACTAAATTGGCGATATATCGGCAAGCTAGCAACGATTTTGGCGACTAATTGTCACAAAATGTAGCGAGAAATCGCCAAAAGTCGCCAAACTTGGCGACATTTTGATTCAGTCTCTGTATCAACGTAATAGGTATTGTAATTGAATAAAGGCAAATGGTCACTATATCAGCTGTAACCGCATCTGACCCTCATATGCTGTCCAGTAATTTCGAGAAGCAGAAAGTACTAGAAATATCTCGGAGGCCGGGTAAATACTGTATAAGACCGGAGAGAGTATCAGTTCTCAGTTGTTGTTGTGAGTTGTTAGTTCAGAGCGACTCCGGAGTATTGAAAGATTCGCCTTTTAGATGCGCTTTGCTTGCGTTTTGTATAACGTTCCTCGTAGATTGAAGTGTAATTACTGATTGTACTGTGTGATACTGTGAACACTTGTACGGTTATTTCTGTAGAATGTTCCAGAAATTTGAAGTGCTTCTTTTGATAAAATAAATTTTTATCAACCTATCATCGGACCTGTGAGCATTCAATCTATTACGAACCTGTACGCACGCAACAGTCTCATCAACATCAACAGAGGATCTCCTTAAGTGCATATGATACGTACAATGATTTCAGGCGAAAATGTTGATGAAGTACTGGAGTTCATCGCATTATCGCATAATCGAGCATACCAAAATGCATTTTCCAGCAGAGTAGCGCTTGCATACACATCTAATATCAACAGGAAAGTTTAGGAAAATGTCCAAATGATTTCTTGGACAAAATAATCCCAAGATTTCTTCTTATTGCAGAATCTATAGGACGTAACTTTTCGCCGAGTAAATGCTCCATAACATGGACAGCATTTGCTACTTAGCATATGCACCATATACTGTTATTATAAATCGCAAAAGTACTTTACTTGTGCTTATCTAGACGGTATCATAATTTGTTATTTATGCCTAAGTAATCTAACTTTGTATATAATATTTATCTGTATATGTGTAACGTCTGTACTTCTAATTTTCATGTAATGTTCTAATTTAACTTGTACGAGATATATAGTATACATCCTCCGCGTTCTCAACCATCCTCGTACGGTTAACGCCAGAGCAAGGACCTACTCCAGCGGCGTTCTGTTCTGCTGAACGGAACAATATCTGTTAGCTGAAATGGGCTCCGTTTTATTTGCTGATGGCCTTGCAATTTCGGTCACTGAATATAGTATTTAATTGTAGGAAGTTAAAGAGCAATTTTTACAGCTTACTGCTCTGTCTTACTGCGGAGTATTGAAGCTTACTGCGGAGTCCCATTTCATACTTATTCATAATGGCAGATTTCTCAGTGAAGTCGTGTATTCGTTAAAAGGAGTAATGCAAATGTTCAAAAACTCAAATTACAGTTTTTAATTCATACCTGAATGCTGAGTCTTTTCTCTAAAGAAACTTTATTGATTTCATTTTCGCTTGAAAACGAAAGGTTGTCGCATCTTTCTTCACTTTTCAACTTCTCTTCGAAATTGGAAGTTAAGTTTGTTGCAGAGACTGCTTTCAGAGGAGCATTGGCCACACTGAAAATTTCGTTCTTTTCTAAAAGGGGAGGAGCCAGAGAAGTCGCGCTCATCTTTTCGGCATTCAGCTTCACGTAACTATCATGAACCATATTAGGTCGTGTTTTCTGTGGAAGGCTTTCTGAAAATATACTTAAAATTTAGATGAATACAAAACTAATAATCAAGCATATAATATAGTGATGGAAACTAGACTTTTGTGCGATAAATCAATTAAAAAGGAAATCATAGATGAAACACAAGGGAATTATTACACAGAAGCAGTATCTTTCGTATTAATTGTTTCCCTTTTAAGTTATTTCCATTTGTTTAAGAAAGCGTAATAGTAATAGGATCACTACATATCCTAATTTAGTGCGTATAGTTTGTATTCTAAACACCCTTGTCAGTACTTCAGTAAAGTTAAATTAATTAAAGGCATTGTAATAAGAACTTAATAAAAGAGTAGACGAGAATCTCACAATCACTCAAAAACATGACGCGACAGGCCGCTGTGGCAGCATTGATAATTAGAATAAAATATTTTCACCCTTCAAGAAAAAAAACTGCTCGGAACATTAATTGTTTTGGATGAAGAATCAATTTAACTTTTAAAACGAAATAACGAACAAAAATGACACTTTTTTAACATTATTTATGTAAATTGTCTCATAACAACGACATAAATGTGAAGAAAGGGCCAAGTTTCGGGAGAAACGACGTTCGGTGTAGTCTATGTCACTGATAAAAGAGTTGATATCTATTACTTTCTTTGATATCGGATTTCTAATTTAGCAAGTTTTAATTGTCAATAAATTACATTAAAAATTTGACTTCTACAATTAGAAATTAATTTGCTAATTTAGAATTCCGATATAAAAGAAGTATTAAAAAGGTTTTCAAATGAATTGAAGAACATTGTACAATGCTAAAATTATGATTAAAGGAACTGCTGCAGAACTTGCCATCCATTAGATCTCAACTCATTTGTCAATGACTCTAACTATGCGGAACATCGTTTCTCCTGGATTTGGCCATTTTTTCACATTTATCTTGTTGTTATATTATCATAAATTTTTGAAAAGCTACATTAAAGGTTATGCTCTTATTTAGACACTTAAAAAACGTATAAACAAATGCGTGACTTTCAATTCTTTTTCTTACATTTACACTGCACTGGTTTCTTTTTATTAGCAATTTCTAAATTTTCCATAACGGTGGAAATGCTATATTTACGCTGCACTGCTTTCTATTTATAGCAGTTTCTTAATTATTAAATTGTCGACATTCCCTATGAGTGTTATTTGGTTTATCCTCGATAATAATGTAGTTTTTTGAAGTTTTAGATTTTTAATGGAACGTAAAAAATGTAAACAAGAAGTTTAAACAGCTATTTTTAAATATTAAACAATATAAATGTTCAAATCTTATTTTAAAGTATAGATTCACGTGTGGGAGACGACATGATCTGACATCGGAGACGCAATAATTCGTTCCAGTTGACAGTACAAGAGACATAACTTCAAGACCAATGTCAAGAGATTTTAGCGTTCTGCACTGTCCCTGTCGACAACTCCTCTCGATTCCAGAAATGCTGACGAACCAATGATCTTGTGTTCCCCTGATATCGTTGCAGATTTAACGAATCGCAGGATGCAAAATACAACTGAAAAAATAAGGAGACGTAGCTAATTCAGTCTGCAGATTGTTTCCATGGGAACAACACTCCAGAATGCTCTAGAACTCTCGACTTGAGAGAATTGCCGTTAGCAAGAACCTCATATAACAAGGACGGTAATCTTACCTACATTAATTGTTCTGTGTCTTTCATGTTATTATATACTGCTTCTCATAAATTTTAATAAATATATTTTGCATTCCAAAATGTATTAAGTGATGCACAACCTAAACAAATATACTAATCATTACATGGAGTCATCAGCGCTACCTTCCGCCGGTTACCGCATTCTGTTGTTTTATTTGCTTCTGGCATCTGGTCCGAGGTTCGAATCTTGAGAACGGGCTGGCTGCATGGGCGTTTTCGTGGTTTTTCCCGTGTGTAACGTGTATACGAGCCAGTTTCCCTTAGAAAGTCCTCCACGAAGGCATCCCTCCTCTTAGGCAGATAGCCCTCGAGGCTCACACACACAGCTCACATAATCTCACACACACATAATCTCACACACACAGCTTCTGGCATCTGTTTCCTTACTTAAATTTGAGTTATTGAACGGCAAAGCTTTTATCGTTGGGAAAGTTGCTTACATTCTTCCCGCGATGTCACTGTAGTTAGTTTATCGCTGTAGTTATGCCCGAACCCACTACCAAATGAAAAAAGAGCCGGTCCTGCAGTCTAGGACTGCGCTATCATTTTATCTGTAATAAAGAGGATTTTATTCTTTACTTTCGGCAAAGTTGATCAGGATCTGAATGGCGCGGAAACCGGCGATCGTTGCAAAGCTATCTACTGGGGATGTTGTCTTGATGACTATTATTATTATTACCTCGCTAATAATGTAGTTTTTTTTTTTTTTTTTTTTTTTTTTTTTTTTTTTTTGAAGTTTTAGATTTTTTTATTGTACATGTCTAATGATCTATCTTGACGCCAAATTTCAAGTACCTAAGTCATTTAGAAGTGGTCTAGGTATTTGAAGAGCGAGTCAGTCAGTGAGTGATAAAAATAACACTTTTTAGACCTTAATAATTCCATAACTATGAGAGGCAGTTTAATGAAATTTGAGATTATAGGTTTTCAAAGGAGCTGTATTAGAGATACAAAATTCCAAGTTTGTTGGTTTAATAGTTTTTGAGTAATGGAGGGTAGAAAGTAGTTCAAAATGGTTCGCGTAAGATACACATGGCCGGTGTTTCGCTGCTTTCTTTTCCGTTTGTTCAGAACTTGGCTGATACACTGTCGTGTGGCTAAATAAAGAGGTTGTCCTTGGCAGATCGGATAAATTATACACATTATTTACATGTGTTTAAAACGTTTACATATATTTAAAAAATTAAATATCCCTTGCTCGGGCGATCACATTACATATTTGAAGTATTAAAAATCTTTTGGATTCTGGGAGATCAGCATCACGGTATGCCTAAGTTTCTTGCAAAAAATTTTTATTCCTGCTTCAATGAATGTTAGCTGAAAGCATCTTGGCTCAACACATTTGCAATATTTTCAATACTATATCATATGATTCATGCATTGTATATTTGTACAATGGTGTAATATTTGAAAAACAATCTTACATAAATTATGGGTAATAATTTGACAGATACAGAAATTATTCAGAATCGAGATAACGCTTTTGTGACACTTAGTATTTGTAAATGTGGAAAAGATCCTATTAAAATTTAATGAAAGACCTTGATTAGAATGATTCGGTAGTTCACCGAATGGCAAGATGAGTACTGATTTTCACATGATTTTAAATGAATACATCTTCTGGCAAATAAATAGCATATTAATCAATTAATAACATAAATTTTTGGATAGGCATACAAGCATGTTTTTAGGAAAATAAAAAATAATTATTGATTAATTAATCAATTGAAGATTTCTTTCCTTACGTATTACTATGGTGAACTAGTTGATTGTTCATATTTCTAGATCCTAAAAACAGAAATAAAAATAAATAAAAAATAAAACAAATGTATATTCTCTATTGTTCGCTGAAACTGCGAAATGGGAATGAACGCAACGCGTAACCCATCAGTTTGGTTAACTATTTCTCGCCCACTGTCCTCATCACAGCAGGTTTTTAGAAAAGAAAAATAATAATTGATTAATTACTGCAATTAAAGATTCTTTCCTGACGTATCTATGGAGAACTATTGATTTTCCTATTTCTATTAATCCAAAAAACATAAAATAAAATAATAAAAAAAAAAAAAAATGTATATTCTCTACCTAATTGTTCGCGCTGACACTTGCCTAAAATAATGGGATGAACGAAAAACTCGTACCATTCAGTTTGTTAACTAGTTCTCGCCACTGTCCTCAGTCACAGCATGTTTGAGGAAACTAACAAATAATTCTTACTTAATTAATCCATTAAAGAGTTCTTCTTACGTATTACCGAGTGGAGCAACTAGTTTTTGATTTTTCATATTTCCTAGTCCGAAAAAAACAGAAATAAAAATTTTAAAAAAAAATAAAAAAACAAATGTATATTCTCTATTGTTCGCTGAAACTGCTAAAATGGGATGAACGAAAACTCGTATCAGTTTGGTTAACTAGTTCTCGCCCACTGTCCTCAGTCACTTTTTAAGTGAAAGAGGTGTAAAGAGTTAACGTACTCCTCCTGCACATTGCGAATATTTTGTGGTAGCATATTCAGATGATTTTCGGCAGTTTATTTTTAATTTTCCCTGCTCCGAAAAATTAAATATAATAATTTTTGCAACTATTTCATAGAAGCTTTTCAGAATTTCTGAAGAACTTTTGTATGATAAAAAAGAAATAAGTGTTATTTAAAATCTGTGGAACACTTTCATCAACAAGCTTCGGTACTTAAATTAAACTTAGGAGATAATATAATCAATTAATCAATATTGTTTAGGAAATGAATTGTTATAACATAGGTTTTTTGACACAAAATCGGTTTTTTTCTGAAATAACATACCATTTTTTTCCATATTTCGATTCTACGACTCAAATTATGCCTAATATTAAGCTTTGTAAAATTAGTGATAAATTTACGAGAAAAATCAAAATTTATCTGCAATTTTTCAGTTTTGCAAAGAATAATTACTTACGAACTTCTAATATATGGCAAACCATTTTTTTTCCTTCATTACGCGGGGCGGAAAAAAGGCACCTCGTTTACCTTTTTACATTGTTCTGAGCGGAAAAGTCACTCTTTTTTTCTACTTCCAAATATTTTACAAAGGTACCACATCTGATGTTTCTCGCTTCACAAATATCCAAATTTCAAAACGCGCCATATATAAATTCACTTATATCTTCGGAAATTTTAAAAAATTGTAATTTTTTGCAGGTATCTTAAAAACTTCTCAAGTTGACGGTAAAAATTTATAGATTCTAATTCAAATTTTGTTGAAAATTTATAAAAATATTTAAATACAAATTTTAAAATAAATCATAAAAATTGGTGAATTTTATTTGAGGACCATCTTTTCGAAATGTGAAGGAAGAATCAATAAGTTTAATAAAAAAGAGAGATTTATAAAATTAGCCAAACTTAATATTAATATTAGGAGCAAAATTTGAGAGCTAATTTTTTAAACACCCTTGTTGCGAATTTTACAAACGGTAGTTGGCGTAATTTGATTCGTAGAATAAAAATATGGAAAAAAATTGGTACGTTATTTTAGAAAAAGTCCGATTTTGTGTTAAAAAACCTATATTAGAACAATGCTATATATAAATCTAATACATATCCTAAGTCGCTCTTTCGAGGAGTGAAAAACGCAAATTGAATTTCGCCAATCAACGCAGTAGAACAGGAGATATATAACTATCTTTCTGCTTTTTTTCCCGCAATGTACATTATTATAGGGAGTGTTGACTAATTTTTTGTATCGGCATTCTCATTTGTAATTGCGTCCTTACTCAGCATCTGTTAATATAGGTTTGTGCATCTTGTATGAAATAAGGAAAATACGAATGAACATTAACATAAAGCATATTCTAGGATTTTTCTCTTCTTTCCTCCATACCCTGTGAGAATGAAGATGGAGAAATTAAAATATCAGCTTTCACACACTACTTTAGTACAAGGTATTTTCTGTCACTTAAGAAACTCATGCCAGATATACTTGAAGATCTATTTCTTAATTCACAAAGTATGATAATATTTCTCTTGTGGAAAAATTTAGTGTTATTGAAACGAGTACAAAGCATATAACTCGGGGACTGATCAGATTGAAACATAATTGTTTACAGAATACAGCAATGCTGTAATATCATTCCTAGCACAATTTTTTGAAGCCTTTTAAGAGATATTTCAAAGGAAACATATTGCGAGAAAATGGCTACAGATTACGCAGTCTGCGACAAAAGGTAAGTTTCATTTCGAATTCAATAAACCATCTGAAAAAAGAAAAAAAAATCTTTTGTTGTCTGTGATATGAAGAGAGGTTTGTTTTCTATGATATTATATTTAATATTTTATTGTTCTTATGCATTTTAGGGAAAACGATTTTTTGATAATAAAGTAAATCTTGACTTACTTTCATTAACGGGTTTAATACCGTTTCGTATCCAGCTTGGTGACTTTAGCAGTATTGCTGCTGGTAAGACATTCAAAATAATTCCTGAAAGGATAAGAAAAGTGCCCTGAAGTCCATAAGCATCTCTGAGAGCTTCGATTAGGAAAGAAAAGCAAATAGATCCGACACATGCCCCGGACAGAGCTATGCCAGAAGCTGTCGAACGATATTTCACAAAGTATTGATTAACGACGACTTGAAATAGTGTATTGGCAAAAGCTTCTCCCAGACCTTAAAAACAGAAATTATAAAAAATAGATAATGGTTTGAAATAAGACAAAATATATAGCTTTAAAAACACAACTAAATACAAAGGAATAGATAATTTATGCTTTTTTATTTAGAAACAAGCTCATTTCTTTTTACAAGAAAGAAATAGAAAAACTGTAGTAATACGTCAGTTGTCTAAGAGACTGTATAGCATATTAAATTATTCTTTGAATTAAGTATTTGTAATGTCGACCATTGTTTGAGTGCCATTGGAGAAATTTCTATCAACTGAAAATAATTATCTTAAAATAGTTATCAGAACTACTCTTCTAATAAAGGCAAAATATAAAATATAAATTTTATAATTGACGGAAAAGGAATATCCGTCAATTATAAAATCGTCGTCTATAATTGACGAAGTGTGTGAAGGAAACGGGGTCGTCGTAATAATCCTCTCTGGTTTTGATATGTTCATCAAAACGTTTTCAAATTATAAACAAGAAAATTGAAAAATATACGGATAACAGTTAAAATTCTTTAAGAATACGCTGTTAGGTTCTCAGAAAATAGAGATGAAACTCAAAATTCGGTAGTTAGGCTATCTGAGGTTTTTTTCTAAGAAATTACGTCGGTGAAGTATCCAAATCGATCTGTGCAGATATTCAGAATATTATTTGCCCATTAAAATGGGTTTACCAAAGATTATGTATAGCCACCCACTGCATTAGTACAAAGATGAAAATGCTTAGCTTGCACTCTTTTAGTATATATTCTATGATAATTGTCTTGGTGGAGGAGAACAATCATTTTTGATAATTTCTATCACAATGATAACTGTTAAAATATGTTGAATTTATATTCAATTCCACATTTTCTCTTTATGAAAGAGAGTCACGGATTATTTCTGCAAACTAAATTACAGTTAAACATGTACAAACATATAAACATGTATAAATGTACTTTTATTTTAACCAAGACAGTTAGTGTGAGACAACTTCTGATTCAGATATGCTTTATAGAGAAAAATTAAAAGCGTACATGCATCACCACATCTTGTTGCATGCATCTTCCACATCTTGTTGCATGTTAAGTATTCTTTTGTACATTGTTTGGAGAACTATAATAGAAATGTTTGACTAAAAAATATGATCTTTGAACCAAGATGTGGATTTCTCTGCTAGAGGATGCTGATTATGGCCTGACAAATTAGTAATCTCAGGATTCAAAAATGGAGTTTTCATGGTGTTTATAATATTTTATTATGTTATGCACTTATATACAAATACATACAATCTAAATTATAGGCTACGAACATTCACATAAAATAGTTTTTTTGTGCCACAAATAATATTCCTACGGCATTCAAACTCTATAAATAGCCTTCTTCGCTGCCGTCAAAAGGCGTTCTGGGTGAGCAGGAAGGGTTGCCATTAACATTTGGCTCTCTTCGAGCGCCACTCTAAATATCAAATATTGCACTTAGCCCGCTGGTATGCATTGGTATTTATACCTTTAAATTTCTTTCTTGTGACCGCCTTCTGAATGTGAAACGATACATAAATTTGATATTTTTTCCTTGTGAAAACTTTTATCCTCGTATTCTTCTCAAAACAAAGTTAACTTTTTATATGTTGATTTTGTATTCTCTTGTACTTCCTTTGAGAAGTGCTTAGAAGAAATTCCTCTTCAAGGTATCACTTTTATAATGTTCAGAAGTTTTATGTTCAGAAGTTTTATGGTTTATAATGTTCAGAAGTAAATCGCAAGAAATATCGTTTGTACACCCCTGCACACTCTTGCATATAGAAGATTAAAAATTTGAATAATTATTCAAAATTGTTCTCAAAAGTTGTCTGAAAGTAGCTGATATTTTTTTAACCATTTAGAGCGCTTACTAATTAGTATTATTAAATTTTATCACGAAGTATAAAACATTTTACCTACAAAAAGTCCTCAAATTTCAAAAGTAAGATTTTATTAGATTAAAAGTACAATTGCTGAGATGAACATATTCTTGAAAAAAAATTATGTTGGATTGACAGGAAGCGTTATGATAGAGATTATCAAAAGGGAATATTTTTACTCATTTAATTTATAATTTTTTTGTATGCAAAAAAAAAAAAAAAAAAAAAGTTTTACTCAGTTCAATCAATGTGATTTCAGTATTAAAGGGAATGCAGAACAGTTGCATATGCAGATTTTAAGTAACTAGCAAGCACTAGTATTTTTTTACAGAATTAAATATGTAAATGCATTATGTGATTTTCATTAATTTGTGTAAATGCATTATGTGATTTTGATTAATTTATGTAAATGCATTATGTGATTAGTTTTAAAATTTGTGAGATTTAAAAAGTAATGCATGCATCCTTGCTGCACATAACATAAATATCATTGCATTATGACTGCTTTATGTAAACAGTTATTTCAGCATTATAAGAAATCACATTTCTGCATAAAAATATAGTATATTGAAGTTTTAAGAATTTATTACAGTAAAGTATATCTTTATAATTTTAAGAATTTATTTTAACTAAAAATTTTGTTTTCCTGTAAACATTCATAGGACGATCGTAATACTTCAAACAATAAAAATTCATTTTAAAATAAAAAGAGCTTGAAATTGCATTTATGTTAGAAATCATGTTACTCATATTTACTTTAAATCAATTTATATTACATAGTAATGCTTATAAAAAAGTCCATTTATGTTTGCTTTTACATTTAAATTGATTCAAATTTAAAAAAAATAACGAAATTATCAGATTTTTATCTTTTAAAAACAGTTTTTCATAATTTTAATACATTTAAAGTAATTAGCTTGATAATGATATAACTAACCATGAATTCCACCCCAACAGACTGCAAGCCACGTTACCGTAGGCGCTACGAAACAAAGGCCGGCTCCCAAAGCTGCGATGACACCTCCCCACAAAGTAACAGTTCGGATTCCATAGCGTTGGCCAATCACTCCTACAACTATTCCTGGATGAAAAGAATGATATAAAAGTTATGTAAAAACTACAGTGGATAAAACGAAGTATTGCTTAAATAAACTAGTAATTTATGGTGATAAGATACCTGAAGGCTGTCTGACTTAAGAGGTAAGTTTTCGTGAAAACGTTTAGGAGGGTAGTTAAATTGTATACAAATTAGGCAAGAATTATACGAACCAGAAAATCTGAACGTAATTAATTCGTGTGGTGATTGCAACCGAGCTTGGGACGAGTTTCCAAAGATCAGGTGTCTTTCCTGACTGGCGATTGACGGGTACTACATAAATTTGGTCTGTTTGAACAGAAGTTGATATTACATACGCTGTCGTTATGAGCAACATTTCAACTTTTCATTTGATTTGAAAAACATTGAGGCAGAATACAGTTGTTTCTTGATGTATCGTAACTGAGTAACCCAATCCAATCTTGTCCCTCCCCCGTTTGTGTCAAAGAAGTATTTGTTTATCCCATGCATAAAATTTCTGTCAAAATACTTTTTTTACATGATCTTGATGTTAGAGTTGTTTGAATTTATTAACTATTTTAACAGTTTAGTTCCGTGCTATATTTTAATATGTGTAGTAATTAATATGTATGAGTCTTAGTTTTGTATTGAATATGTGCAAAAGTTCTAGCAGTTCTTACTGTGGTAATCATTTAGCTATTGCGAACTTATTTCCTGTTTTTATCAGTTGGTATTAGAAATGTATGGAATTTTCTACTATACGTTTGATGGAAATTTCCGAGCACATGGGAAGTACGTTACTTCCAAATGATTAAAAAAAAAGGGAAAATGGTGTTACTCAATGATATCGTCTTTTGTATGAGTACGATATTGGCCATAGTGCTGAAAAATGGCATATAATTCAATAATGCTGAATCAGAGTGGACATTCCAGTACCGGTTCTTATTCTTCTATAACCAAGCTCAGAAAAATCTTAGAAATTTAAAATGAGAACCTATTGAAGCACTTTATATTTTTCAGCAACATGTATATTAACCAGATTATATTTTAGCAGTTTTTAAGCATGTCTTACTTGCAGCATACACAGTTATTTTGATTTTTGCGGTTACGGATAAAACCTTAAGCATACAAATATTTAAAAGTTTTAATTATTATTAATTATTCGAAGTAGTATTAATTAATCGCATTCATAAAACAAGGGAGGGAATATTCTGGAGTATAAAAAAATTCATGAATAAATGTATTTCTTTTTTTTTTTTTTTTTTTTTTTTTTTGCACTATAAGGTATTTGAGAAAAGATTGACAAAATAGGATTAAAATGGAAAAGAAAAGCTTACCTGCTGAAGATCGAAGAGATTTCCTGAAGGTGAAAGGTAAAGTTGCTTCAAATCTTGTGGTGTCGTACGTATCTATAACAGCTACATACAGTATCCCTACCATTTTAGAGATTCCTGAAAGAATCATGGTAATCGCACAAGCAGCAATTGCAATAACCCAAGCATGTCCTTTGTCTGGACCTTCGCTGTAGCTCATTTTCCGTTTAAAATTATTTCTTAGGAAATTTTTGTTAATTGGATATTTTAGTAACAGTGTTACTTCGCTTAATTTTGAATCGTTATCGGTGCTACAGATTTCTTGACAAGCTGTTAAACTGTATTATTTCTGTTATGCCTTCTCAGACTGTAAAAAGTTTCATAAATGGATCGCTGCTAAATACAGTTTTACTAAACTGTAGCAGTTCGATTATTTGTTTCATTAGGAATACATTCTGATTCTTGAAACATTACGGCTCTAATCTTAATTTTTATTTCGCTAAACGTTTAAGTACAATAAATAAATGGTTTACATCCTTGAGCGTTCGCTGCGGAGCAAATTTAATGTTATTATTCACACGAGATTCTTGAAATAGGTAATATCCACAGGGAAAAAAAGCACAGACTGCAGACTTATACATTTTTATATAGCAGCAGAGGTTTACGTTTACTTTAAGTTTCCAGAGTTATCTTAGAATATTTTAGTGAAATCATTAGAGGATTCCCACGTGAAAAGGAAACGGATGTTAAGGGTAATAAATTTCAACTGTATTTTCGACGGGAAAGGTCAGAAACGTCTGATAACATGTTTGCATCTTTCAGGATTTTGTGGACGATAACGAGATCTTTTGAAACTCTAAAACTCCTTCGAGCGAGAAGCTGAACTGAACTGCACACAGAACATACGTCATCCATTGTTGCTTGATTTAGGACTATCTTTTGGTTTACCACGATTGTTTCATCTGCTGCTACATCATCGCTCAAAATATGAAAAAATATGGCGTAGAGATGCCGCCAGTAAAATACTCAGTTTTAATAACTTAAGATTTTACTTTCAAAATCAGTAACAAAATATCATTTTAACTGTAGAATTATGTTATCATCTAATGCATTTGAGGAATTTTGGGAGAAGATAAAGTTTAATTCCTTATTACTATAAAGTAAACTTGGTATTTTACTCTAATTCTTCTGTAGAGACACGAAGGGTTCATAATTTAAAATTATGAGCTCAGATTGTGATCGAAGAAAAGGTATGTATGTCCTCTTGCTATTAAAATCTCAAACAAATAGTATAAAATATTGTTGCGTGCGTAAGGGTTCTTAATGGATTGAATGCACAAGTCGATAAGAAGTTAACACAATTTATTATTATTCCAAGAATAAATACAAAATTCTTAAATTTCCTCAGAGATATTCTTACAGTGTCGCAATAGTTATATTTTAAAGTACTAAAACAGTAGTTAAATATCAGAGTAGTTATATTTTAAAGTACTAAAACGTTCAATAGAACTTAATTCAAAACAGAGAAAGCTAATCCGATCTCACCGCGAGTTCGCTACAATCAACAACAAGAACTGAGTAAAAAACACATAAAATAACTGAAGTGAGATGTTTTCCTCCAGCTTCTATAAGCTTTTTTTAATTATGCATGAGATCATTCTGGTTCTCGATTTCTCTGGATAGCAAAAGAGTACAATTACGAGATATCTATTTATTAAAATGTTGAATGCGCGTGCTCCTGTATTTTAATTTTTTCGGCGTAGCTTTCTCTTTAAATAAGTCTTGTGCTGCATTGCAGGGGAATATAAAACAATTTTAATTATAAATTCTAATAAAATTAGCTAAATAAAAACAAAAACCATAACACTGCACGTCCCAACGACTGCACGTCCCAGGTAGTACAATCCCTGGACAGGTAGCCAAACTTTCAACTAAGGCATCAATGCAATAACAAACATAACATTACAATAACAAGCAACATAAACAATAAATGAAATAACTTACTTAAAACAAATAAAATACTAGAAAATACTAAATACAAATTTAGAAACAAAAAGGACCATGGTCTTTTACTATTTACAATTATATACACTATGTACTATGGCCATAGTAAGAGGAGCTAATCTGTCATAATAAACGACTTTAGGTTTAGAGTTCGATGACTTACGAATCCAGACTACAACGTCGTTAAGCCTGTTTAGGACTGTATACGAACAACCGCAAGGTGACTATAATTTACGATAGAGTCTTTTGCGTCGAGTCGGATTTCACAACCACACTTTGTCTCCTTCGTTGAGGGACGATGTCCAGTAGCTTTGGTGTCGTATCGGGTCGTCGCTCTCGCGCAAAATTGTGCATCACTTCAAACCAGGCCTGGAGATCTTGGATGTATTCCTCAGGCGATGAAGGTGCATCCGGAGGGCGACCAAACAAGAGATCACAAGGTAGACGAAGGTCTCGACCGAAGAGCATCTGAGATGGAGAATAGCTGGTAGTCTGGTGTTTCTTTTCGACCCTAGCATGATTTCGGCTGTTTCTCGAGTGGTTCTTTCGGACAAGCGTCGGCATTCCAGGTGAGGATCCCTTCTTAGGATGGATAGTCATGTCTTTAGATCCTGAAAGCAGTTTGTTGTTTTTCAAGTCCAAGGAAAAATTGTATTTCCTTAAAATATCCAATCCGAGTATGTAAGGATCTGTAATATTTGCCACATATGCCGTGTGACTGTAGGCGGCACTTCCAAACGTGATGCTCATGTTTAACTTCCCATCGATGTCGATTTTATCACCAGACCCAGTATGGAAAGTAACGAAGGTTGGCGTTCAAATGAGTTTATCTTTAAACTGTTCAGCTAAATCTTTCCGAATGATGGTAACATTAGCTCCCGTCTCAGAGATCATATTGCAAGGGGCTCCATCGATATGCCCAGTGATGGATAATTCATTACTGCTGCCTCTCACTGCAGAAATCAGACTTTGATCGAAGACTTTGTCTAATACTGCTGCCACTCACTGAACGCTTTAAAACGGGATTTTTCACTATCATTCAAACTCCGCTCCGCGATATGATCATTAATTTCTTTCCTACGTGGTTGCTGGGTAATGATTTTATTTTGCGCACCCTAGGGTATTCTACAGTTCCTTGGTACATGGCCTCGAGCTCCGAAGTTCCAGCATTTTGGCTTCCTGTCGCTCCTTTTCTGTCCTATGACATTTAATTGTCTGTTAAATCGTCTGTCTTATTTTCCGTGCTCTGCGTTGTTCTGTAGTACCTTCGTATGTGGCCCTCAACACCGCAGTTACAACACTTTAGGATTGGTTTCTTTTCACTCCTATTCCGTCCCAAAGCACTGACTGATCTTGTCAAATCATCCGTTTTATTTTCCGTGCCCCGAGGTGTTCTGCAATACCGTCGTATGTGGCCTTCCGTACCACATTTCTAACACTTTAGGGCGAGTTTGCTCCCATTCCTATTTCGTATCAAAGCATTGACTTGTCTGGATAAATCATCTAATCCAGCCATCAATTGATCCACTGGCTCGTGGACTCGTACAGCTCTGACTGGGTAGCGATCTCTACGAGTTGCTTACTGGGCTGCCTCGAATATCATAGCGTACACTAGAGCGCTTTCTACATCCCTGACATCCTAAATTCGCAGAGCTTTCTGTATTTCAGGATCCCGAATGTCATCGAGGAAGTACTGCAGGGACGGATTTCCCTTGTTTTTCTCGGGCACTTCGTAAAGGCGAGGTGAGAAACAGCCTTTCAATATCCGTGGCGAGCACTTGGTGTGTTTTGGTGGGCTGCTGTGACGAGATTTTAATTGAAGCCTACTGTAGTCTTTCAAACATTTATCGCCAAAGCGCAGCTCCAACGCGCCGGACAGAGCTTCGAAGTCTAGTCTCTGGTTTTCTGGAAGACGTTAGAAAATATCCGCAGCGTCTGCTCTCAGTGAAGCGGCGAGATGACAGGCCGTAGCTTGGGAATCCCATCCATTCGCTTCCGTCACTGTAGAAAATTGTGTCTTATACACTCTCCAAGAGGTCTTCCCATCATCTGCAGATAACTTCAGAGAGGGACGAGCAGGCATAGGTAAAAATTTATAGCCCTCCTAATTGTCGAATGCATCTCTTTAATGGGTCAACTTCTTTGACGACGACAGCAGAAACCCTGTCTTCAATTTGTTGTTCGATTTGTCCTTGCACGGCAGAAGCTCTTTCTTCAATTTGTTATTCGATTTATTGTTGGATGGCCAAAACTCTTCCTTCGATTTGTTCTTTCACAGAAGAAACTCTTTCTTCAGTGCGTCCAACTTTATTTTCAACAGCGACTATTTTGCCTTCCATAGCCTGAAATTTGTTTTCTGTTATGCAGGTAATTTCTTTTTGTCTCTTCTTTAACTGACCCACTTTCCCACTTTCATCTCCTCTCTACTTGACCCACTTTTATCTCCTCTTTAACGGACTCTTGGCCCGCTTTCATCTCCTCTTTAAATGAGGCAAAGGCTGCTATCAATTGCCTTAATTGTTCTTCCATCGTGTTACTGGCATTCAAAAGCCCACTCCTGACACCAAAAAAGTGTTACGTGCGTACGTATTCATAATGGATTGAATGCACAAGTCGATACGAAGTTAATAAAATTTATTGTTATCCGAAGAATGAATACAAAATGCTTAAATTTCTTTAGAGATGTTCGTACAATATCGCAGTATCTCACAGTAGTTATATTTTAAACTACTAAAACATTTAACAGAACTTAATTCAAAACAGTGAAAGCTAATCTGATCTCACCGCGAATTCGTTACAATCAACAACAAAAACTGAGTAAACAACTCATAAACTGAAGAGATGTTTTCCTCCAGCTTTAATAAGCTTTTTTAATTATGCACGAGATCATTCTGGTATTTTCTCGATTTTTCTGGATGGCTAAAAGAGTACAATTATGAGATATCTGTTTATTAAAATGTTGAATGCGCATGTTCCTGTGTTTTAATTTTTCCGACATAGCTTTCTCTTCAGATAAGTCTCGTGCTGCATTGCATGGGAATATAAAACAATTTTAATTACAAATTCTACTAAAAATAGCAAAATAAATACAAAAACCGTAATAATATGTAAAATCGGTAAGCAAGAGAAGTAAAGACATTAAGATATTTTACCTTGACGTCTTTGAGGAATTCAACTGTAGTTGGAAATCTAATAATATGGTCGCAATACCGATTTCCAAAGGTTTCTTGATTAGTCCGTGAAAGAATTTCCATAAAATAAATGATTTCTTAAGCAACTCGGATACAGAAAAAGAAAATATATGTTTGCACGGTGATCATGTACTTTATTTGATAGTCTGTTTAATAATACGAATTTGGTCAACATCTCATTTTATTAAACAATGTAAGCTAATTGAATGAAAATGCTAGTTGAAGGTAATATTTTTCTCTGGCTTCCAAAATTTAGATATTTATGTATCCCTTTTTAATACGAAACAAAAGGTGTTAAAATTTGAGAAGACATAAATTTTACAAATACAGGCTGTGTTGTTTCAAAGAACTAAAACTTCTATATTAATAATCTTAATAGGATTACTTTGTATTTTAAACTTTATATATAATATTCATTTAATTATAAATATCAGTAATAATTAATATACCTTTGGAGTGCCAGCAGATCAGTTTGTGGGGATTTTATGTGATTATTCTCAGTTAAGGAGCATGGGAAAATGTAATAATCAGAAGTTCCCTGTCCCCACATATACAGAAATAGGAGTTCTCCATATTTCTTGTGTAGAAATATGTGAGAAAGGGTCCATATCGTGTTACACAGTAGTTCAATGAAAGATTCGAGTCCAGAGATCCTAAATTTATATTGGGGATCAAGTTATATGTGCATTTTTCCAGTGAAGCATTATTCCAAAAATCTTGACTACATTTTAAAGTAAGTTGTTTTAGTGAGTAATTTAAATTTGAGCATGCCCATGTAAGGGGGGTTTCAAAACCATCTTGATTAAGAGTTGCTTATTTGGCCAATTCATCTGCCTGATCATTACCAAAATGGCCACTATGCCTTTTTATCCATGAAATCTAAATTTTGCAGTTTGGAATTAAAGCAAGAAGAGAATTTATGTTAGAAATCAACAGTGAGGAAGCTAAGTGATTCTTAATCGCTAGAATAGAAGCTTGAGAGTTCTATTGTATGGTAAATTCGTTGTGATTTTGAGAATGGCTATTTCAGTCGCTGCTTTTATAGCTGAAAATTCAGCCTGAAAAACTCAATTATTATTATGGAGATGACATTTTAATTCGATGATATCTGAAAGGCGATTTAGAAATACACTGCTAAACCAACTTTTCCTTCAATTTTTGATCCATCAGTATAAGCAATTGGAGAATTTTGTGGATACATTCTCATGTTGTCCCGAATTTAATGCGTAGGCCATTCATTGACTGAATTATCCTAGCTTGAATGGTAACTTTTATGTAACTATGAATAATTGTAATCAAGTTCCTGTAACCTTAGATATTCGTTCTGAAATATTAGATGGTGATTGATAAGAAAACATCTTAAAATGCGTTATGTCAAGTTCCGCACATATATCCTCAAAAATATGACTCTAATGTGGCCGTTATCAGATATTGTTTTAAGCGAAGCACTATATTTTAAGGTAAAATGATTTAAAAATGGATCCACAACGGCTGTTGCAGATGCTGCCGAAGGAGAACTATTTCCGATCATTTTCGAAAAGTAATCGATTATTTTAACAGCGAAAATCGTTTATTTTCGTGTCATTATTATATGGTCCTAAAGTCAGTTCCTATTATTTCTTTACGGAAACTTGTTTTTCTCTTATTTGAATAACCGGTTGGGCTATAATTAACACCGTCAACTAACTGATATGTGCTATTGGACTTGACATATCCATTAATAATTTTTACAGTTGTGGGAAATAAAATGCTTTCTTCACCCTCTGCAATGATTTTCTAACAGTTGAATGGCTTGAAAGAGACGCATCATGTATAATTCCTTCAATATACTTAATTTTAGGCTCTCTGGTATAATCGATCATAATTATGCGCTTTTATTTGTGTAAAGTGAAAGATCATCGATAATGTTGTAGCTTTTTCACCTGTGTTTGTAATTCCCGTGATAACGGAGCAATGAAACTAAAAGGAATCCTTAAATTACTCATAAATATTTTTAAATTAAGGATCATCTTTCAACTCCTTTATTACTGTCTCCGAGAATCTAAAAGTCAACATGGCACATCTCATCCGTTTTCTTTCATTTAATTATCAACAGGACATCAGCTGCGAAATTTTTATTCCCAATTGCATATTTAATCTTTAGGTTATACTCCTGCAGCTTGAGTGTCCACATTACCAGACTTGGTTATACGTTCTTTCTCGAATAAAAACGAGTGATCGAGGATTGGTTTATTCCGGCTAATACTGTTACCCGTTCTTTACGGAAATACACTGTCAATTTTTGATCAGATAAGACGACCACTATGGTGTCTCTCTCATGTCTGTGTAATTCTCTCTGATTACTGTAATTACTTGGATTAAATTGTAATTACTTGGAATGAAAAAAAAAAGCCAGTTGAGTGTTTATTAAAAGGATTGGGGTCTGTTGAATACCTCTTCTCCTGTGCGAAACGAAAATGAACCGTGGGGTCACATGAGCAACCACTAACGCATGGTGTACGATACCATAGAACATAATTCTGACCCTCATTGGTTCGATGCAAAGAATTATTCAAGATGTACTTCCAGAAACGGAACCTCAGTATGTTATTGGTGCCCAGTGTGTATCGTTGCACATCTTTGACAATCAAAACATTTGCTAAGAGAATGATTATCTTTATGCAAAGTTAGGTTTGTTCTCGAGCAATCATTTACGGTCAGATATTTTCTCTGACATGCAGTACATGATCTTTATCTAGTCACCAAAACATAAACCTCTCATAGGCGCTGTCTACAAAATAATAAAAAATTAAATTAAACATAGAGAGAGCACTATGATATAATCACTTCACTAAATGCATCAAGGGACCGATTTAAGATGGTTTCCTTTAGAATTTAATCAATTAATATGTATAAATCTTCACGTTACCGATTCACACATTAAGCGCTTTTGTTCTACAGGGAGTTTTTTGAGCTCCTAGCATATTAAAATTATAGCTTAAACTTTAAACTTAACCTTCTTCGCGTGCCTTCGTGGTGTAGTGGTCTGCATGCTGGGCGGCGCGTATTCCAGAGGTCCATGGTTCGATTCCCGGCGAAGGCGTTGCTCATTTTTCACTTCTGCTGCCAAAAAAATACCTAATGTCTCTACAGTGTAACTGTAACTGTATTCAGCCCTCATGTTTCTTCCAGCAATTTTGAGAAGCACAGAGTACTAGAAACATCTCAGCGGCTGGGTGAAAACTACATAAGGCCGGAGAGAGCCTTTTGTCGTGAGTTGTTAATTCAGAGCGTCTTCGGAGCATTGTAAGCTTCGCCTTTTAGATGCGCTTTGCTTGCGTTGCGTTTAACGTTCTTAATATTTTGAAGTGAAACCACTGATTGTACTCTGTGATACTGTGAGCACCTGTACGAGTATTTATGCGGAAAGTTACGGAACGTTAATGTGTTTCTATGGATAAAACAAATTTTTATCAACTTATCATCGGACCTGTGTGCATTCAATTTATTACTAACCCCACGCATGCAAGAATAGCATAAATTTCGATGCAGTTAAAAGGAATAAAAGTAAAGCTAGTTCTTCTTTTGTTTCTTCTACAGCTTTTATTATCCAAGCATATTTTTTGAAAAATTGTTCTATTCCCCATTTTACGTTTTCCTACTCGTATTTTGCGTACGCAACTCCATGAACATTGATTTTATATTCTATCATGCATGAACGGTACCATGATCTGAAAGTCTTCGCGTTCTAGACCCTGTTTTGACAGTTCTATGCTTAACATATTTTGACGTAGAAAATGAATGTCTCATACGAAATAATGCGGGATATTAAATTTTAGAAACAATTTGCTGAAAGGTTTCATGCAAACTGAAGCCTGTTTATGCTATCTAAATACTGTTAGTTTTGTTTATACTATTTGAATACTGCTAGTATTGTTTCTTTATAACTTCATTATTTAAGCGAAAAATTACATAACGATTTTTAACACTTTAATTAAAATTATTAAAATTGAATTTAAAAGCTAATAAATACTCACATTCTGAAACAAACAAACATTTAATAACAACATATTTTTGAATTTACACGTCGTATGATTTGGAGCCTTTCTTATCTAACCATGTCAGCAGAGAATTCGATTGAATTTATAGCATAATAGTTCTTTATTTTCTTTAGTTTCGGATTAGAAAGGCAGAGTCACACTAAAAGGTCCAGGCACTGGTAAATTCTTGTATGTTTTAGCGGGCACCCACTGGTAGACCTCCGGAGCATTTGCGTCTTTTTCATATTCTTTGCATGTTATCTTCAGTAACCTGAAAACAGTTTTCTAAATTACAATAGTTCAAGAAAAATATGCTTTGACTAACTAATTTAGCAACGTTTATAAAAATTTTATTACAATAGATTTCACACATTTTGTTTTCATACTGTAGGTTTAAAGTATCCAACTACCTTCTAAACATCAGTTTTGATGAAATTTGTCAAAAAAGTTTTATTATGCTTCCGAAATTTACTTTTATTTTGTCTCTCTGGCCATTAAAAGTAGAATTATAGCTGTTCTTGTTCTACGCCATAAACTGGGAGTATCTATTAAGAATCCGGAAGTTGATGTCTAAAGTTGTACAGACTACTCTAAATAACTTTAGAATGAGAATGTTTCATTTGAATTCTTTTCGTGATGTTAGAAATATGATTTTGAATCTTTCTTCTTGTTATGAAGTACTCGAAAACAAATTTAGTTTTGAATTTAAATTTCATTATTTGGCAACATTTTCTTTTCTTTCTGTTTGTGCTTGCATTTCATTAAACCTATTTTTTGAACAACTTGGGTTTTAGCCCAAAGGGGCAATTTTCCCAGAAGGGCTTCTTCCGTCGTTTTGGCATTTGGCGTTGATTCACTATAAACGGCGAATCCCCTTTTAAATTGTTTCTACTAAATATTAGAGCCTTATTATATTTAAAGAAATTAAGTAATGAAGGATCTGCATAAATGTAAGTATGTTTCTCGCATTGTGATAAAACAACGGTACCTACAGCCATCCAATTTTGAATAACGTAATCCTCCACTAAATGTGCACATCTGGAAGTCTTACCTTGGAATTTGTTTTATTATCAATTTCATATTTTGTAACACTTTAATGAATTTTCGATTAACAAACACAACGATTCAAAGTGAGCAATGGCAACACTTCGAAAAAAAAATCTGATGTGTATACCGCATAACTTCCTTGTACTGAATATTAAATTATACGCATTTTTTCTTGAATTTCATTTAAACTTATTGGATGGAATTAAATCTACTTCGCCGGCAGCGCATAAAACACAATAGAATAAATGCATTCTTTAAAATTTATTCTATTTTTTACCATAGCGACAGTCTGGGGCTAGGTTCACTTAACAGTATTATATTTCGTTCATATTGTAACTCAAAATGCACAAAATTTATATCAATTAAAAAATTATTGATACATGCTGTATTCAAATACTATATACAAGTTACAAGAATGCATGCGTGTGCATACGAGAATGCATACGAGCCGAACTATTCTACTAGAAAGCTAGAACGATGTATAAAAGAAATTAAGCAAATAAAACAAAAAAGAAACAGTTTTTCACAGACGATTAAGTATTTCTCATTCAATTAATTCAGTCTCACTTCGCGACACGGCAAAAATACATGAAAACTAGCTGTATTAAAAATTACGAAGTAACTCTTAAACACTTATTTCCTCGAAACAATTCCAGAAAGGATTAAGCATAATTTAATTTGCAATAATAAATGAAGGCGTTTTATCTTTGTTGTTGCGAAGGTAAGTTTCTCTAGATTCGCAAGAAATCCACTATCCCGCTGTTTCAAATGCAAACAAGCTATGGCCGTCATCAAAAAAATTATTAGGCTTAGCGTCACTTAAACAACTTTAAATTTTTGATAATTCTAAACATTTTGCCTACAGATTTACTAAAGGCATAAAAACCTTAACTGGAAGATAAGAACAACATACTTCAATCATTTTTAAATTAAAAAATGTACAATTTACAAATATACGAGTATAAGAGTATAGAAACTGAGATCACTGAGCCATGTAACAGAGTGGATATATATATAAATATACTTATATACGTTTGGTGCGGCCGATTGCAACCAAAATACGAGGTGCACATCTACATGTTATAGCAGTCCTATATACAAAATTTCAACGTTCTGAGGCTACTCGTTTTTGAGTTATGTGAGATACGTTTGTACAGACGCCACGAAAAATTCTCTTCAGAATTCATTTTAAAGCAGTTTTATAATTTTTTTTTTTTTTTTTTTGGAAAAAAAAGAGTATTTTATTCTGTCCTTACGTACAGATATCAGGCAAAAACATCGTTAGATTAAGACACAATAACACGCCGAATAAATACTAATTCAGAAGTCAAACAACAAAAATCAGCGTTATATTTACAAAATTTTCACAGGACTAGTTTCGATGGTTTTACCGAACCACCATCTTCAGCTGCAAAACCGCAAATGAACAAGATAGGAAATAATGATTAGATAAGATAAGAAAGCCTGGACAAGAATAAGATTCGTTAGATTGCATTCGCTAGCGGTCAAAATGGATATTTTCGTTGAAATATGCTGCCTGAAACGTTTCGCGATTACAATACTTCTTTTTTACTTTGTACAAGGAAGTAAAAACATTTATATCTCCTGCGCGCGAGACTGTGTATCGGAAATTCTAAAGATATGCTTATTTTAAAATTATTTTGCGATATTGATGTTGAATTTAATATTCTGGTTTAAGTGCGAAGAACATGTTATTTGATAAATAAAGGTAACCTACAAAACGTAAAAAAAAAAAAAAAAACTCCTTCGGGCATAATGTAAATTCTGAAAGCTTTCAGATTAAGAAACAAATTTTTTTCTTCAGGTTTACGAGAAAAACTTTAACATAAAGTATTACTATAGTAATTTTATGAAACTCCCCCCCAAATATTTTATGAAATGGTAAAATTAAAAGGACTAAAAGTTTAGATTATGTTACGTATTTAAAACTTCTTCAGATAATTTTGTAAATGAAAAGAGGGAACGTTGTAGAAAAATAGATAGCATAATAGCATATGTGCTCAGGCAGGTATATTTAATAGATATTTTACTTTATCACTTATATTTTATTTTATTGAATTCCTTATACTTTAATAAATATAAATGACAAAAATAAAAGTAAAGTATAGATAAATATTTTTGTGGGAATATATCTAGTAATACTGAAATTTATCTAGTAATACTGATTTTTAACACAAAATGTAAGAAAAATCCAAAAATTATACTTTGGTAATATGTTTATCGCCTGTTTCTATGATTTTAAATAGTATTCTGATAAATAACACCAATAATAGATTTATTTGTACTGTTTTCCAAAATTTGCATGTCGAGCGTAGTCGCATACATTAAGATTTATAACTAAATGCATATTCAAACCAAAATAATAGTTTTAACTTTCAAAAACAGAGCACTTTTATAATAGTCATTTAAAATTTAAGATGTAGCAAATTCTAAACTCCCAAATCACACATTTATGCAACTGTGAAACAAGCGTAAGATTACTTTTGTTTGTCTCGCGAAAATAATATAAGATTATCTTTTTAAAAGTGCGGAATAAAGCCTTGCAGTATTTACAATTTGAATTTCCTTTATTTTACTTCTAAAAGAAATAATATATCAGTGATTTTCAACTTTTTCCATTTCATTCCTCTTGTGTTATATCGGGTATAGTATGCTAGATCACTATACATGTTCGTTATACTGGAAGAGAAGTAATTCTTTTAACTAATTAAATTACTCGTTATCTCCACAAAATAACAAATTCTATATTTTAAAAAACAAGTTACAAGAATGCATGCTTGTGCACGCGAATACGAGCCGAACTTTCCTACTAACTGATCTTCAGACAAAGTTACAGTTACATACATACAATTTCTTTAGAGTTACAGTTTTAGGTATGTGAAATAATGCAGCTAAATAAACAGTTAGAAAGTGAAAAAAAATTCAAAATCCAGTTACAATTAAACTGCCACACTTTCTTTTACACATATCAGAATGTCTCTTCCCTCATTTCTATGATTTTTTGACTCGAAGATGCATTCTAAATAATATATAAAATTTAAGACATTTTATTACCGTTCACCATGAATTACATATAAATTTACTTCAAATAAATAAAACTATATTTTAAAATTTTAGGAACAATATATTGTTATATACTTTAATTAAACTAACTCTCAAATAATTTACTTAGTGATTAAATTTCACCAATAAAAAAGAAGTTAAAAAAATACTAGTATTTTATAGCTACTTAATTTTGATAAATGTAACATTCGGTGTTTTTTTTTTTTTTTTTTTTTTCCACTAAATCTGAAATACACGGAGAAGTATATTTGAAAGGACAAAATGTAAGCGGCTTTCAGTCTCCAGTATGCTTCTATATTTTCATTTGCATTTGCATCAAAAATCATTTTGATGCAAATTTTATTTTCATCAAAAATCAAACATTCAAAACATTTACATTAAAATAAGTGATTTACAACGATATATCGACACAGATAGGAGCAATGCGTGCGTAACTCTTTCCGCCACGTTTGGATAGGATCTGCACATTAAAGGCCTCCGACTGATTTTTCATCGAACAAATCTCTTTCTCCTAATTTAGTCATTAACTTGATATTGACATTCATCAGAAACTTTACCTTTTAAATATGTATACGGGTTTTCCATTAAATTTTTATCATCACCACTGAACTCAGAAAAATAACAACTGAAATCTGTGTTGTCAACTGCTACGAAATTTCATTTTTTTAGAAATTGAGATAAGCACTTCTTCTTTTCCTTTGCAGTCAAGAAGCAATGAATTTTTCCACACATTGAAGAAAAATTAATATTAATAATTCTTTTCCAGTTTTTCAGTTTGTTCACGAACTCTTTAATGAAATCAATTAATTTTTTGCTGTTTCCGTTCTTTTCTTTATATCTGAAGATTTATTTCATTCTCTTGCTCAAATGTCGCATACGAGCCACATGATCTATTCTATATCATCACCATCAATGAAACGAAAACGCTCTGCCAGTAGAATTTCCTCTTGAAAGATACCAATTATTTTGGTGGGAAAGAAGCAAATAATTGTATGAATTTCAAGCAATGTGAAAGAAGCAAATAATGGACTATATATTAATATAGGCCATTATTTCCTTCTTTCACATTGATTGATATTCATTGCTTTCATTGTTATTGCTTGAAAAATCATGTGGATCACGACTTACATTAATTGATTAAAAAGGTTTATTAGCGAAAGCATTTCTTTCTTGAGATGAATGCATTTTAATGTATCATACATTGGCATTTCAAGCCATCCTATTTGCCCACTTTCCGATTCTGGAGCAGTAATAGACAAAGACCACCTGTTCTGATGTGGGGCTCTTCGTGGTCTTACAGAAGAGTTGAGATACTGGGAGAAGAGTACGCTCTTTAGGCAATGACTTCGGTCTCTTTGTTCTTAGTTCTATTGTCTGTAACTTTTTTTTATAAGATTTTAGTTTTTTGTAACTTTTTGCCTAGCCATTGGAAATAAAATTTTGATAATGCCTTAGTGGCTATTTATATTTCGCTATTTATAGGTGCATTGTTATTCTCTTCATAGAGGATCTGTTGGATGTATGTGAAAATATTTCATTTCATTAGTTTGGGCATATTCTAGCTGAGCAGCTGCCACTAAGTCACCAAAACACGCGAGAAACAAAAATTCGATCCCTGCTAACTTCTGAGAACAACACAGTGGAAAGATTACTGAGTAAGGTAAATGCTATTCACAACCCGCCAAAAGAATTTGTTTGAGGAAATGACCAAGTAATTTGATCCTCGTTTCCGCCCAAATGTTCTGAAAACTGATCTCTGTTTCGTAAGAAACATCTGGGCATCGAAAAATAAATACAACTAAAGATTTTGACTGCCAAAAATAAATACCCACTACTATAGTCACAAACAATTTCAGTAAAATAAAACCTTGATGATTAATTAAATTACATTAACCCAATTAAAATTTGTGACACAACAATGCCAGTGTATTGAAGGATGTTGTTGATAATGTTACGCGTTTTTGCATTTAGTTTATCAAAAGAAGAAGTCGACGCAATTCACTAAAGTCCTTTGTGTCACATCTTTATATGCAACAAAACTTTCATGATTGATTTAGATATAAAAATTAAACCTGAGTTGCCCAGGTACCAGATGTGAGCTATACCAGACTTTAGCTTTTTTAATAAGGAAAAATTCTTATTCTGCGGGAGGGCAGTGGCACTTTTTTTGAAACCGAGCAGGTCTTTTGCCTCTGATGTTGTTACGTCATTAGCATTTCCACATGGACCTTATAAGAGATAGACTAACCTCGTGGGCAGGGCGCGCGTCACCGACATGTCGGCAAGAAAGAGTAGGGACGATATGGTTTACTTTAACACTGAAACCTATGGCGTTTGTGTCACATAAGGCTTTTTAATTATTAAATGTGATACGTTGTATAGTGGTGAGATTATGAAAGCCACAGTTTTTTCCAAATAGGATTTAATATATCCCATTAAAGTATTTTTTACTGCATTTCGCGCATTTTTTTTAACGCGTAATTCTTGTACAAACATCTTTACTTTGGTAAAACGGTAAAAACTCTAAGCACAAAATTTATAAACTTAATTTTGCGTACAAATAACTTAAAATTAAATAAGATTGATTGTACGTGATGCTTTGAAATAAATATGGTAAAATTAAACAAGATCTGATAATTTCTTTAATTTAATGACCGTTTTCAGGCAATGGTTTTCAAAACTATAATAACGTTACAAAACAATCATTTATTTAATTATATCATCATTAACTTATTAACATTAAAGTGGAATATTTATTTTAGTAATTTATAAAATTCGGAACATAAAATTTTCTGAGTGTGATGAAGGGGGGGGGGAAGTAAAATAAAATTTAAAAGAACTCAGATTTAATATTACGCCCAAAAGGAACCTTTTTTTAACGTTTTGTGTGTTACCTATACTTATTGAATATCATGTTCTTTGCCCGTAAACCACATACATTTGAAAACAGCATATCTTTAGAATTTCCGCACTGGAGATAAAACTGTTATTTTCTGTACAGTGCTCGCTCTGAACTCGTTGAGTTTGTTAATCAAAAATTCGTTAAAGTTTTACAAAATATGAAATAGATTAAAACAAATTCGAAATTCGGCCGTCCAGATGCCCATGTTTGTGGAGGATTACATTATTCAAGATTTGATGGCTCTAGATACTGTCGTTTTTGTCACAGTGCGAGAAACATACATGTATTCATGCACCCCTTTGGGCTAATAAATTAAATTAACAGTAAATAAAAAAATCTTATTCAGAACTAAAAATAAATACAAAAATAATCACTATAAAATTCAAGCAAAATTGATTATTACGGTTAAATACAATTTTAATATTAGAATTAAATGTATAAAAATTTTTAAGGAGTCAAAAGTATTTATCACTATGATGTATTATGAAATATAATTGAAATAAAATTTCTTTATAGAAATTATGATATAATACTCATGTATAATTTTAAAAAAGCAGCACGATTTAGAATTTTAAACAAAACTTTCAAAAATTCGTTTTTAAATATTTTAGTATAAAAAGCATAGAAATTGCGAGAGAAAACTGCTTGTTTGAAATTTTCTATTAGTTCAGATTAAAATATTATTTTCTAACAGAAGTAGTTACATATTTCCTTATAGCATAGGAAAAGCTAAAAAAAATATCCAGCCCTGAAAGCATGCAATAGCTTTATAATTATTTGGAACGTTAATTATGCTCGATAAATATGCTAAATTTTTAAAAATCAATCTCAATTTCAAAAATAAAAACAACCAGCTTTTTTTTTTTTTTTTTTTGACAATTATACACGCTGCAATAGGCAACTACTGTTAAATTTCTGCAAGTCGTCTCTACTCCTCCGGATGTGATCAAGGTGACAGCCGGGAATGCCTCAGACGCGAGAGAAAACCCATTTGGGTTAGTCTATTTCTTATAAGGTCCATGCATTTCCATCACTTACAATTCCGATGTAAGAACAAATCTACTAAAAGATGGGCTCGAATATTTGCGTAAGGCCGTTCAAAAGACTAGTAATTAGCCTTGATACTGAAGGTTGAATTAGAGAATTTGAAGAGCAGCAGCAGTTTTAGAAGGAAACACGTAACTCAGTTTATCATACACAGAATTTTATGAAAGTATTTCTGAATACCTTTTAATTCTGAGAATTTATTTTCATGAAATTTATGCTGATCGATTTCATTGTCGTATTGAATTTTTATAGACCCTTCTGTTCCAATGTACTGGCAATCTTCCTAGTGTAGATTTTATCCCCAAAATTTTAAAAATATTTAAAATCTCATTTTATGGCAGAAATTCAGACTCGAAATCTTTCTTTTTCTGGAGATAAAGAAATTTTTCAAACTGAGAAATGTGTCTAATTCATGCTAGAACGGAGGCTGAAATTAGTTTTTTTCTTATAGTTCTATATTAATACAGATTCACTTTCTCGTTTACATCTCTTTTAAAACAATGTCTTAAAATAACCTTTTAAACTAATTTTATAACCTTTCTTAAAGGAATCCCTTGAAACGATGAAGACTAAGGTTTTCAACTTTAAAAATGTAGTGCATAATAATTAAATTGATAAAATCCTATATAAAGTTTAATATGTTAAGAACTCAAAAACCAAATGTATCTTTCTTTATCTTATGTGTTTATCTTGTTTGTTGTGAGAAAGAGATTATTAAGGAGTTACGAAAGACGGGCTTCACTGTCTTACATCTTTTAAAGTAATCATTATAGTATGTGTAAATCAGCAATATTATATATGCCACTGTTATTGATAATCCGTTCATGTGGTAACAAAGATTGCATCCACTTAAAGTGGATTGATTTCGGATACTTACACTGTAAACCTAAAGTAGAAAGCCATGCAAAAATGGACATACGTTGATATTGAACATGATATTAATAATAACTTACGATCTGTATCTCTTGCATTGCGATGAACGTGGATTATCTTTCTTGTAACATTCTCTCTTGAGCAAATTGAAATACATATTACCAATGGTATTAGCAGTGACAGAGTTAACACGATCCAGACAATCATAAAACTCCTGATCACATTTGCAGCTCAACCTGTTACAAATTGTTATATTAGAATTTGCATACAGGAATAAATAAAACTATTAAGTTGCTCATGAATTTATTAGTAATAAATAAGAACTTTGCTTCCTAAGCATTACTTAATATATTAGCATTACTCAAAAAGATATTATTACGTTTTGTAGAGTATTAAATATGTAAACAAGTTCATATTTTAAATTATTCATGGAAAAAGAACATAGATGTAAATTCGTAATTCACCAAAACTTAAAGCCCAGAGGGAAGGGATTTTGCAGTTGTCTTGTCAGATTACTTTTTTTTTTTTGAAAAATTTAGGCTTAAAGCTTTAAAAATGGTTCACTGTAGGATTTGAGTTTTCCTAATCGATACTTTATAATTAATTTCCCTGGCTCGTCAAGGCAGACGAGCTGGCTGAGACCACAGGTTTATGCAAACTACATAAATGGCAAGGGGGTGTAGTTTAAACACAGAAAGCTTATCCTAACAGTGAAAGAAACCTTCGGAGTTCGTTCCTTGATTATGGCATCTTGCTTGTGTAAGTCTTATGCTTTAAATATCATGATGAAATTACCGAGAGATTTTGTTGAGCTCGGTAAGTGATTAAAGCATTCTGTTTCGCCTACAGTTCGTTTGAAAATACGAGTTAAGAATATTTTTGCAATCATATTGTAAATTTAGAATAAAAGAAAGCAGGCTGTTGCAAAGTGTGACGATGGATACGCAATTCTTAATTGGTTATTATTTTAATTTTGTAACATTTGCACATAGTGTCCATTAAAGCTTTTATTAAATTTTATAAATGAGTCATCTTATGTTTGGCAGTTAAGCAGCATAACAAGCGATAAATGGCCCAAATTACCTTCAACCTCTATAGGTAGTCAGTCATTAGATGTTAAAATATGTATAATGATATAAGTTTACGTATAATGATGCGATATAGATATTAATTATAATTATAAATATATAAATATAAATAATATCTATATACAAATAGTATAAATATACGATTTAAGTTTATGTATAATGATATAAGTCAAGTTACTTTATATCTTAGAAGTTATACAATTAGCTTAATTTCAATCAAGTTCAAGGTGAAAAACTTCGAATTTTACACGCATTTGGAAATAAATGCACGTAAAAGACAGTAAGTTATTACGGCTTCGAAATTCAGTTCTATTGTTTTTTTAACTCTCTATAACCTGAATATTGTTCTGGGTTGTAAAAATGTTGTATAAATTAAAATGTAATAACCTATAACTACAATTTAACAATCATCTCAATATTTTAAGTGATTTTGTTAAATCGAATGTGCTTCCTAAATTTAGAGTTAGAAATCTTTACACTTATGTGTATAAGAATTTAGGTATCAAAACAGTAGTATTAAAAATTAAATGGATGTTTTCTGCTTTTAGTTTTTTTTTTTTTTTTTTTTTTTTTTTTTTTCGGAAACTTTCCTTTAATCTCACTACACACCAGTTTTGCCCAGCGTTTCTTGTTTTCTGAAAATTCCAGCCAATATGTCAGTATTTTTGGATACGAAAATTGGTGCAAGTCTTTTATGATTACAAAATTTTCTCATCTGGTGATGATTAATTGAAAATTCATCATCGCTATCGGTGGTATTTATGCATCATTAAGTAAATACTACCAGCTGTTTCGGGTTCGAATAGTATTTAGATAAAATATTCTTTGCTATATTAGCATTAACATTAATGATTTTTATACGCTTCGAGTTTTACATTTCTAGGCTTCTGGTACGTAAAAATAAAGGATCATCGAAAATTTACCGAATCTTGCCATTGTAGCTGATTGCCATTTGAAAGTCATAAAAAATAGGTTACATGACAATCGAATGCTAGCAGATAATATACATACCAAATAGATTATTGATGTGTAATACAAGACAAAAGCCATTATGTCGGCTTTTAAATTTTACCAAAACACCGAGAGATAAAAAATAATGATAATTGCAAAGGATGAGTTCCATATCTTTTAGATGTTGACAGTTTGCAAAAGAATTTATTTGGGTTGCTTAATGTTACAACCGATTGTCTTCTGTGAAAAACACTGTTGATTAATATGGAAATTTTACATAATAAGATAAGTAAGCCATCTTTCTGTAAAAGACTAAGTGCATCAGCAAAATGTTAATATATTAATATTTGACTTTAATATCACACCGAACTAAAGAAGCTTTAAGGACATCAAAATGTTAATCAATTGTAACAAAATGTTCCAAAATATCTTTCAGATATTTCTTTTCGATTGTAAAGGTAAATTTTTATTACGGTATTTACATTTTATCAAAAGCTATGTAGAATTTATGAATATTTTCGTGTCCAGGGTTATATATTAACGTATTAAACTGGATAAATTAGAGTTAGTGTACATATTAAACTGGATAAATATAGGAAACAAATTATTAAATACTAACTTAGTAAAAGGTGAATAACATACAAACTGTACATATTAAACTGGATAAATATAGGAAACAAATTATTAAATACTAACTTAGTAAAAGGTGAATTATTGGTCAAATTGTTCCTCGTTTCTCCTGGTGCCAGTGTATCATTGCAGAGATCATGAGCTCTGCAGCATCTATCAGTGTCCTGGTGTAAACCGAGGTCATCATAATTCTTTGCTATATCTCCTGCTCCACACCATTTTGTACCTGAAATTTAATAATGCAGTAACACATTACAAACCAAAATCGAAAAATACATATTTTCTGACAACGTTAAACTCGAACAATACGATTATCAGTGTTATCATTAACAGGTAATTTATTAAGTGAATACTACGATTCTTAACTTTAAATGTTTAGACCCGCTGTTACTAACATTCCCTCCCCCCGGGAGTCGACATAGAGAATTCTGCGAAGCTACTGGCTAAGATCTGTACCAAGGCAGTCTCGGCCACGGGGGTATAAAATTTAAGAATTTGGTGGTTCTGAAAGTCCTAAGAAAGGTCACTTATTGGCCGGCCTCGGGGTCTGGCAAGTCCTGAGCGATACGGCTCTAGCAGCCGGGGTGTAGCACCCTCCGGTTCGCTGGGTAATGTTCCACTGCGACGGGGAGCCCGAGCGACTGACAGGTAGCACATTAACGACCAGTGCCATCTGGGATTGTTCCTGGGCGGTGCTCCTCTCTCTCTCTGAGGGGCCTGGTTGCATGGCTCCATGCCTGGTTGAACCTCCGCGCCTGGTTCCAAGGAGTGGGGGGGGGGAGGACTGTAGTGCGATTGAGTTTGCGGAGTAAGGAATGCCCATATGTTATTGTTTGTTACTAACATTCAGCTGAAAATTTAGATAATTTTAGAAATGCTTAGCTTCCTAATTATCAAGAAAAAGATAAATCCAATGTAATCAAATTAATAATATTGTGAAAGCGTATATTTTATATTGCTTTTTTACTATTGAAAATTTTCCATTATAGCATTTAAACTAAAGATTTATAAATGTACATCGAATGTCGAAAAGATTTAAATTCTTCATCTAGTTTTCAACAGGTGACAGTGGCTTCAAATTAACTTCAAGGAATATCATTAACTTATTGCTTTTATTATGCTGCAGTAACTGATAACCATAACAAGGAAATAGTCATGATAATGGTTAAATATATATAGTATATAGTAATGTAATAAGGAAAATAGCTTTTCCTTTAAAGCTAAAAAGTTTGAAAAAAAAAAATTACGAAAATGTACTAAAATGTGTTAAAATTAAAAATAAAAAGGGAACCACCAAGTTCATAAATTCTTCAATGACTAAGCAAAGCAATACAGTATTTAAACCACCTAATAATTGCAGGCAATGGATGAAAGCCTAAACTGCATTCAAACGAGTGCACGTCATTCCTTAATATCAAACTAAGAAGACAAATTTATAAGAAGATAAATGGATATTTGAGTAAAAAGATAAATTTGTGAGTGAGATTTATTCTGGTAGTGAAAGTACGTAATATGAAATTAGGTTCAGAAGTCAAACAACAAAAATCAGCGTTATATTTTCAAATTTTCACAGTGAAAATTTGAAAATTTGACTGTGAAAATTTTTGTTGTTTGACTTCTGAATTAGTATTTGTTCGGCGTGTTATTATGTCTTAATTATGAAATTAGGTATTAAGAATTCCTTCCTTTGAGACGGGGAAGTTACTATCATAGTCTTAGAGATGAAATTCCTATCATTCAGCCTTAACTTAACTACCTGATTTTAGGCTGTATCAAAGAAGCAGTGAGTTGCCACCGATACATACAATAGATAACAGAACTGTTCTAGTAACTAAAACTTAGTCACAACTTCTAACTCTGTACATTAAATTAATGGCCGCAGACACAACAGAGAATAACCACTAACTTACAGACTGTATGAAAAGTTGAAAAAGAGCCGTTGACAGTTATATATTTTAATTAAGAAGGCACGTGGAAGCAATATAATTTCTAAATACAGCAAATTAAGGACGTTACTTTTAGTTTTATTAATTAGATTAATCAGATTATAGAAGAGCTCAATTCTGGTGTCGCAGGAATAAATTGTTAGCACTCATTAGGGTAAATTTAAAGTTCAGCCATATTTAAATATCTTCTACTTGTAAGCAAGATACAAATAGATCTATTATAAAATTAAAATAATTGTCGTGATATGCGACAAACTGCATTCATTTCTTTATTTTGATTGTAAATAGCCATAATCGTTACATTTTTTTTCGTTTCGGGATGGCTCAATAAATAAATTTAATTAGTTGATTGTAGTCTGTCTTTTTATTTGATAAAGATTTGTTTTCTGGTAATATTTACTTCCCACAGTTTATATTTGTAATAAGCCTTAAATCAAATTCTTAAATTATGAAAAAACATCCCAGGGCTATCAATCTATTGAGAGACCCCTTCGTGGGGAAATTTTATTGTAAACATGAGGAGATGACAGGAAATTTTCTGATGTTATGCCATTCGGTCTTAACAAAATAGGAATAAACTGAGAACAGAACCGCATATGAATTCTCTGCTTTCAGTGAGTTCACTTACGATCATTGAAAAGGCTAGGTAGGGAATGATACGTAAATATTCTTTAATGATATTAAGAAATAAGAAAACCTTTTAATATCCTGAAAATTTTTGAAATTATTAAAGTTTATTTTCCGCATTTATTTCTTAATTGTTGAAATAATTTTGCTTTGTATAGTTTCTTTGGATAAATAATGACAACATAATGACAACACCAAATTTTAGAAAAGGTACCTGTTCAATAAAGAGTTGAAAAATAATTTTTTAAATTACCTGGGAAAATTACAGGTAACCCATCATATCCTTCTGTGGTTGATGATTCCTTTTTCGGACCTTCCATTTTATTAGGTGGAGTCATCGTTGCGCTTTCATAATCTTCAGTGTTGTCGTAATTTGCACCATTTTCATTGATGCTTGATCTATCGCCATTCGACCAACTTTCTTTGATTACAACTCTTCTGTTATTCCCATCATTGAAGTCATTTCTTCTGCTATTTACAGTATGAGATTCATATGAATGACTTCGTCTGCCATTTCTAGTATGAGGTTCATTTGCATAAATACGCCTATCATCTCCAGTACGACGAGTTTCATGTTCAGCGCTGCGTTTTCTGCGAATGGAAATTTCTGTGCAATCCTCAAGAAGACTCTTCATTTCTTCCGGGCTTGGTTTTTTAACAGACTGATCTGGTGACAATTTCAGTATATTTTGGATCAGTTCCCTATGTGAGAATATCAGATTTTTGTAAGTAAATGGAAACAGAAAAGCTTAAACTTTCATCTTATCCTCGAAAAACCATTGCACATATTCAAAAGGATAAAATGAAGCCAAGAAATTAACATGTTTTAATAAGGTAACTAAAATTAATTTGTAACTAAGAATAGCTAATTAGTAAATAGTGATAAAATGTAAGACGAGCATTAAAATATTATGAAAAACGTTTTTCCATATGTTTATGCACTTGAATAATACTACGCTCTGTGAATATAAAAACAACAAAAGGAAGAAATGTGCTAGACTGCATACCAACTATTACCGAGTACTATGATACCTTTGAAGAACATTTGGAATTCTATATCCTTAATTTTAATATTAGCAACATCAAAAATTTGATATGCGATTTTTAATGGTTCTTAGTACCTCACTAGGAAGTATGGGAAATAAGACCGGAACATAAAAGCAAACAAACAAATAAATAATAAGAACTGCGAACACAATGGCAATAATAATAATAATTATGACAAAAATGGCTTACATATTGTTCTGTGATTACACTGTTCTGTAGCAAAATTTTATATAATTTGGACTCTAATTTTGGTTTTAAAAATACTGTGCGAACCAATACTTTTGAGAAATAATGTTTTATGTCAAAATGGCATTTTTAAGGAGAAACATTATAACTACTGAAGTAAATGTTTCTATTATCATTCACTTGTAAATCTAATATTATAGCAGATAACGACTGTAAAATACTTCTATCCAAGTGAAAAATAAAACCAACTGTGAGAGAAACTGTAATCTTAATGATGCTCGCAGATTAATTACTGAGCTTAAGCAGTCGTGTAATCCGGAAAAATAGTGGTTTTTCGTGAATGCAAAGATTCCAAAGAGCTATGATGATATTCGAGCCCTTATTTCAAAATATAGATAAAGAAAATTACTGTAGAATTGCTTCACTGATTTGTATATTGTGACATTACACTTTGGACTGGCTTTATCATCTGTTTCTCTTTTTATATGCATGAAAAAGACGAGAAAGGTGGAACTAATACATGGTTAAAACAGCTTTTATGTTAATTTAGTGTACATGTGAGAGAATATGTTTGGTGAGACTTTAGCGGACACGAGTAATATTTATTTACCTGCTTGTGGGCTGATTTTAAGAAAATATGTGGCAACAACTATCCTGTGTTCCATATGCCTTGGTTATTTAACTTTCAAACGATTTTCCAGCTTGAATGTCTCGAATTTCTATGGTATGCGGGAAGCTTGAACTTTTAAGTTATTTTGTGTAGATCTCTTGAATGATCTCTTAAATTAAATAAAGAATATTTAATTATTGTGAAAAGTTGCGCCTCTTTATTTATGTGAATAAAACTTCCATTGAAAGAATAAACATGATTCATAATGAGTTACTGTATATTCATTTCATTTTTAAAATCCATTGCATTTTTCCATCCATGCATCCATTTACATTTTCACTAGGTTGAAAAGATGTTCTTAGTAATAAGATAAGTTAAAAAAGGACTGGCTTATGGAATTAAAACGGGAATTATTAACTGAAGAACGCATTGTAAGTTTATACTTATTGTAAGGTTTATCCGTGAACGGTATTCGAATCACCAACTAAAGCCTTACGTTTTGAGCCAGATAGTAAGTATGATGACATAATTTACCATGAAAAAGTAAAATCGCTAAATCGACACAAAGTTTTATTATGATTTGTAGGAATGCTGTTGAAAATAAAAACTTTTCTCCCCTCTAAAGAGAATTATGATAAAAAATTGAATGACATGAAATGATTCGCTAACATAGCATTTTTAACCGATTTCACTTCAAAACTCAGCAACCTAATTACTTCGTTTCAAAGAAAAGGTAATCAATTTGTAGAAGAACAACTTACTTGAGAAAGATTATCAGTATTTTCCATTATTTACCCTCGTTCTATATTCGGAATTTATTCTAGAGTATGACCCATCTAGGCTTGTTTAAAAGCTCAGAACGTACGTAGCTCAGACTTTAAAAGAAGATTCCAAGTCATGTGTTCTCTGTAGCCCATTTTATTGTTCCTAAAAAATCCTTTCTTGGAATTAGACATAACAAAAGTGACTTTTAATGGAAAAATGTTGTTTTATTAACAAACTGGTGAATTAGAGATTATTACTATTCGTACTGATGTAACTCTCAAGAGCACAGAAAATAATTATGATGATGGGCCAATTGACAAAGTTTAAATTGCGTTTTTCATGTCTCGAAAGCGCAACTTAGGATATATATTAGATTTATCTATAGCATTGTTCTAACATAGGTATTTTGACACAAAATCGGACTTTTTCTGAAATAACTTACCAATTATTTTCCATATTTCGATTCTACGACTCAAATTATGCCTTGATATTAGATTTTGTAAAATTTGGTGCGCAATTTACGGAGAAATTCAAACATTTATCATGGCACAATTTTTTCAGTTTGAGTGAAGAGTAATTCACTTGGCGAACTTCTTAATATATGGCAACCCATTTTCCTTTCCCTTCCATTATGCCGGAGCAGAAAAAAAAGGGACTTCATCGTTTCTACATTTTTACCTTACGCATGAGCGAGAAAAAAGTCACTTTGTTTCTACTTCCAAATAGTTATAGCAAAATGTCTAAACCCCATTTGATGTTTTATCTTTTTCAATAAATATGCGAAATTTCAAAACGTGAAAATATGTAAATTCGTGTATATCTTAAGAAATTTTGAATAAAAAACTCTAATTTTTTGCAGGTATGCTTAGAAATACACCTTTTTTAAGATGATGGTAAAAAGTTTATAAGTTATAAATCAAAATGATTTCGAAAATTTATAAAAATTATTTAAAAATAAATCATAAAAAATGGGGGCATTTTATTTGGAATGAACCTAAATTTCGAAATGTAAAAGGAAGAATAAAAAAGATTTAATAAAAAAGAGATATTAATAAATTTATAACAAATCCAATTAACATTGAAGAGCTAAAATTTTGAGAGCTAATTTTTGATTTTTACAAAACTTGGCAGTCAGGCATAATTTAAGTCGTAGAACCGAAATATGGAAAATAATTGGCATGTTATTTCAGAAAAAGTCCGATTTTGTGTCAAAATACCTATGTTAGGACAGTGCTATATATAAATCTAATCTATATCCTAAATTGCGCTTTCGAGACATGAAAAACGCAATTTGAATTTCGTCATTCGGCTCAGTAGAACGGTAGATATAGAACTGTCCCACTTTTTTTTTTTAAATTATTTATTTATTTATTTATTTATTTGCGCAGTGTACATTTCTTGGTTTTTTTAATTTGAAATCAAATTTATTTGAACCTGCGCTAAATCTGCGATTTCTAAGTGGATTTTCTTAGTTTTTGTGGGCTCATATTAATTATTTAGAAATGCAAAATCCTTCAGTGAAATCATATATTTTCATTAAATTGTTATTTTCCAAATATGAAAACCGGGAAGGGGAAATTCAAAAGAAACCCTTAAGGCAAAAGCAGTTAGGCATTTCTGCCTTACAGTATGAGGTCAGCTTTAACACACATAACCGGCGACATTCAGAACATAGCGATACTATTTAAAAAGCTATGAGAAAACAGGAAAAAATTCAATTACAAACTTGTAGAATATTGTTGATTTAATATGAAAGTCATATTGTGCATAGAGGTGCAATCAAAAATCTCTCTTACTGACGGTCTAAATTGTCGGAAACCTATAGGCGAAAATTTGTTGCAACGTTTGAAAAATAAGAACGCAAAAACGAGAATAAAAATTTCATTTGCGCGTAAGCTGTATGTATTATGTCAATGCAGTTTTATGTCATAAAAATAAAACAAAATATGTGAATGAGTGAATGAGAGTACAGTGCTTGCAAGTTAGTGTCGAACGTGTTTAATTTATTATTGGCTATATTTTACATTTGCATTCAAGAAAGTATGAATGCGAAATATTCTTGAGTGCAATTTCATTAACATGGAAGGTAGTTCTGCAAGCATCAGCGATACGACGAATATAAATCAGCAGACTGTAGTAAATGAAATTTTGTCAAGAAGTCGTGTTTTCGAGTGGCATAAAACGTTTCGTGAAGGCAGAGATTCAGTACAAGACGATTCCAGAGCTGGTCGCCATACCAATGCAAACGTGGAGCGTGTAAGGCAGTTATCGGAAGAAGAGAGTCGTGCAACTGTGCGTATGATATCAGAAGAACTGTATTTGAATCGTGATGTGTTTCATAAGATTTTATGCGAATATTTAGGGAAACGGAAACTTAATGCAAGAATCGTCCCTCACTCATTAACAGATGAACAGAAAGAGGAAAGACGAAGAATCTCTGTTAACTATTGGATAGAGCCAGACACTATCCCACATTTGTATCAAAGATTACTGTGATTTCTTCTTGTTTCTGTGAGTGAAAAGGTGACTGAAAAGAAAGCTTCACCAAGATTATTGCAGACATCCAACAGACTATGATAAATGAGCTTGCAAGCATCGCAGTTGAAGATTTCCCTGCTTGCTTCGAAGACCTCCAGAAACGTTGGCAGTTGTGTATAGATAGCCAAGGGAGACTACTTTGATATAACAGCTAAGGATCATTACTTGGTAAATGCAATTTACTATTTTTTATGCCCTTTGTCCTGGAAGTTTTCTGACAAAGGATATATTTATTGCATCTACATGAACGATATGCCTTGTCATAGTGATTGTCGTCAGCTTAATAACTGACTATTTTCCCGTATCATTCATAGCGTTGAAGTAGAATTGTTGAGTTTTGAATTGGCCTGTCGGAAGCACTGAAAAAAGTCTTATTCTGTATACGCCCCAGTTCTCTTTTTGTAACAAATAATACATTAATAACTCATAGTTATACCTGAATCTTTTCATTAGTTATTTAAAGACCAGCAGGATATCCTATTCAGCTTGTGTATAACATGATTTTGTGTTTTTTTTATATAACCTGTTGCTATATATATACCATTTACTATATATATGTAAAATACTATTTATTTAAACAAATGAGATTTTTTTTAAATTGAACTTATCTTTTTTGATTTTCTTTTATATGGAAATCACAAATAGCCTTTATCTTTTCTCTAAAAGGTTTTTTTTTTATTTACATATTCTTTATAATAAGAGTTTGCATTGTTAGGTTTCATTGATGAGCGCGTATTCCATTAGAACAGGGTTGCAAATCTGCTATTCTGAATCAAATGATTCAGAGCAAACCGCTATTCAGAGGTTATTTATCAACAAGAGATTCTAAAATAAAAGGCGCTTTTTAACTGTATGGATTATCACATTGTTTAATATCCTCTGGAAATAGCCTGAAGTCGCATATTTCTAATAAAAGGTTTTTAGTAGTACACAATTCATCTAAACATACAATTTATATTTAAATGAAAACAAAGCCAAATGCTTTGTTCGTTAAAAGGTGGACGCAGATTGGAAACGGAAGCAAAATATAAAAGGGTGATGTATTACTCCTTGAATACCCTGCGTTTTGCTTTATTATTAGATGTTATCAACATTATTTATTACAAATGGTAACGTAGAATTAAAAAGGAAACTTACTCATCTGTGAATATTTCACAGCCTGTTGCTTCTGGCTGACTTCCTTCGGACCAAGTAACGACTAATAAAGTCTTATTTTCTTCTCCTGACGGCCGTTGGAGAAAGAACATCTTTTCTCGGAAAGCGCTTTTGCAAGACACCATCACAATCAAAGAGGAAACTAACAGACATCTAACAATGTGCTCCATGACTAACTGGACAAAGAATAGTCTGAAAGAACATTCATTTGAATTAAAATGTATAATCAAAGATGAAATCGATTTTTAGCTTACATAAACTTTTGTAGATTGCTAAGTCTTTCTCAACATTTATTTGTTTGTATGCGTTGTAGAGACATTAGGTTATTTCGAAGGAGGAGTCATGAAAAATGAGCAATGCCCTCGCCGGGACTCGAACCACGGACCTCTAGGATACGCGCCGAGCGTGTTGATCACTACACCACGAAGGCATGCTAAGAAGGCGGAAGAAATACCTCATATACTCCCCCTTTTAAAGAGAACTAGGAATTAGGGGACCCAATCGCCAAGTCCTGATGATGAAGAATCATCATTCACCACCTTTTTTAGCTTGGGCGCCACTGTAGAGTCATTAGTTTATTCTGAAGGAGGAGATGTTGGACAATGAGCAATGCCCTCGCCGGGACCCGAACTACGGACCTCTCGAATACGCGCTGAGCGTGTTGACCACTACACTACGAAGACATGCTAACAAGGAGGGAAAAATACCTTATAGTGTTAACTAAGCACACATATTTTTCTGCTGTGATATATTTTATATAAACAGTAACTGATAAATAAATAGCAATTGAGAAAAAACTTGCATCTTCACATTTACCATTTAAAGTAGTGTGTATGAAAATATACTTGTATCGAATAGAATAGTATTCGTATTAAAAGACAATGTATCTTTTATTTATAATATAAATTTTAAATTTTGAGAAAGAATTTGAAGTAATTTTAGAAGAAATATATTTATAGTTATAATAAATGTGATAATATTATCTAATTTTAAGGAAAATATAATAACTTATTGTAAGGAAAATCATATTTCTATTCATTCTGGGGGGAAACGGAATTTGACCTGTCGATTAACTATGATTATTTCAACTAATTAATGTGTAAGCAGAATTTGTTAAAAACTTAAGTTATTTAACTATCAGGATGCCTTCAATAAATATGTCACAACATTGAAAAAAAAATGAAATAAGCGCGTACGTTGCATACAATCACATTTGAATTTCTAAAAGTGGATGCCATTGTACGACACATCAAAGCTAGTTTCCTTCCATAAAAACATCATAAATTTGAAAAGCTTAGAAAATTTTCATGGTTTTTTCTAATTGTTTTCTATCTAGGCTATTCAATGCTGAATCATTGCCTGCTGTAGGCAATCATTTAGTTTTGCGTTTTTTTTTTTTTTTTTTTTTTTTTTTTTTTATTTAAACTAATGGAAATAATTTACAATTAACGATTGACTGATCAAGTACTAAAAACAAATGAAAACAAATTCCTCTCGACTATGTAAAAATATAAGATTGCAATCCATAGTCATCATTAAATTGGAAAATGTTAACAATAGAATCGGAAGAAGATACTTACATTTCCAAAATATTTTGATAAGCTAAATCTTCAGCCACACGATTAATTGAAGGTATTTTTGGCACTCATTAATCATCGGAGTGTAATATTTTAAATAATAATCCCTTGAAAAGTTCTATTTAAAACATTAAACTGGAGGTGATTGATAGTTTTTAATTTTTTCGTGTACAAATGTAATTATTCTAATATTAATTTTCCTTTAAAAATACTCTTCAGCTTTTACATTTCAATACCAATTAACAGTAATCTAAATTAATACCCTATACGGTATTTCTTTCGCCTTCTTAGCATGCCTTCGTAGTGTAGTGGTCAGCACGCTGGTCGCGTACTCCAGAGGTCCGTGGTGATTTCCGGCGAGGGCGCTGCTCATTTTTATCTCTCTTGCTTCCAGTTAACCTAATGTATCTAGAATCGCGCCCGAAGTAAAACGGTGGTGGATGATGATTATCCACACCACAGAATTCGTCGATTGGGTTCTCTAAAAAACCCCAGTTGCCCTTTAAAAGGGGGAGTATATAAGGTATTTCTCCCGCCTTCTTAGCATGCCTTTGTAATGTAGTGATCAGCACGTTTGCTATTTTTCATCTTTCCTGCTTCCAATTAACCTAATGTCTCTATAACCGTAAGCAATTTTCCCTAGAATAGGATAATCTTTTTAATAAAAGTTATCTTATTATAATAATTTCTTTCCGATATTAAAATAGATAGGTACGATATATCATTATGTTGCCTTGTAAGGACTCTCAAAACATTTTCAGGCGAAATGCTGAGTATTCTCTGTGTTTACAGAGGTCTAATATTGGAATTTTTCATTCAGCTCAATTGAACCGCCAAATAATAACTTGAGGCAATGATGAGTAACATCAATTTTAATTTTACTTTTTAATTTATGCTTCCGTTATATGCTGTTATTAGTTAAATTCTAAAAATTTTAACTATAGGTTTTTTATTAAAACAACAGATAATCATCGAGAATTTTAAAACAATTATTACTAATAATAAAAGATGGCTTTAGATTATAAAGAATAACTATCTCTATAGCATGAGAAATTTCGCTTCGACTAGAGAAGCTTCGTTTGTGAATGCTATGTTGGTGTAATTTAATGAGCAATGTTTGTGGCATGATGTAATTTAGAGGTAATTTATGTTTGAAGGAGATAGCACTATACTGCAGTTTTTACAAAGAAGCAATAAAACCGACTTTTTGAGAGGAATACATTGAGTTAGGCCAGAAGAGATTTTATCAGATAAGGAATTTTTATAACACTTTCACACACTACTGTGAAATTTTTTATTGCAAAGAGAAATGAAACTTTCTTTTTCTTGTTAGATTTGCCACCTTGCTACCTTATTTATGTTTCTTAAAGTGAAACCTTACATTAAAAGGCACAATACTGACAGTATTTCAAAAATTCAGAAAGAATGTAACAAGATAATTAAAGAGAATTCCAATCATTTGGCTTCTGTAAAAGATGTTCACAAGTTCTAAGCATATAAAAGAATAAGATCAGAGTTAGAAGGAAAACTTGTAGGAGGCCTAAGCAATAATAAAATCAGTTTCAATCAAATGCGAAATTTTTATGAACTCAGACCTAAAACTTCGTAGGTGCATTGTGCATATTTATGCAAGGTGTACCAAAAGCCACAAGCTTTTTTGATGCTCATTAGAACCACACTGAAGGATTCCTGCTTTGTAATGTTTCGCATATTTTATATATATCTCACCATTTGGTTTTACCTGGTTATTAGTGAAATATTGAAAAAAAATTTGAATTTCTATTGCATACCCTTTTTTAATAACGAAGTGTAGTTTACTATTGACTGATGTTTAATTCATGAAGAAATATTTAGGAAAAAAATTGTGACGTCTCTAATTAGGTCAAAATCACCTGCCTCGATGGTCTCCAGCGAAATATTAAGAATCAAAACTAAGAAAAATATCTCGAGAATTCAGTGTAACAACATTCATTTGATAACTCATGTTTCAATTTCAATACCGTCCAATAAAAATAGTTGTGATAAATTTAAATAATATTCTAATAAAGGTTTCCGCAATTAAATTCTACTAGTGGGCAAGCCCGCCAGATGAGCAGGCTACGGCCAAAGCAATATTCTTCACTTCTATGTACTGAATGATCTTCAGTTCTATGTACTGAAAATAAAATTAACTAATGTACTCTATACAAAGTTTCTAGCCTACGACCAAAGCAAAATTTATGAGTTCTATGCACATCTGAAAAGAAAGTGCATAAAATCATTTCAATATGAATGAAATCATTTTGTTCTTACCAAGCAACAACCAATTTGTAAAATGGTTTTTTGTTGCCAAACCAGAAAACAAAAACTTTGGATTCTTGAAGTTAATACGTATACATATGACGTCATTTCAGTTTACTGTGATATAAAAATTTTTCTCAACATTAATAAGCGAATTAACATGGCAATAACATACCGTGTCAGTTATCTTGATCTGAAACAAAAAAGTTGCCAACAGCGGCTATTTATTTAAAATGATGACATTAACAAAATGTTTCGATATACAATGACGTCATATGAAATCGCGAGCTTTTTCTCAAAGTCAGAACATGACCTTATAAGGTATTTCTCCCGACTTTCTAACGTGCCTTCGTAGTGTAGTGGTTTTGCACGCTGGGCCGGTATTCCAGAGGTCTGTGGTTCGATTCCCGGCGAAGGCGTTGCTAATTTTTCATCTTGCCTGCTTCTAAAGAATACTTAATGTCTCTACAGTGGCGCCCGAACTGAAAGGGTGTTGAATGATGATTCTCCTCAACCAGGATTTGGTGGTTGGGTCCCCTAAAAACCCCAGTCGCCCTTTAAAAGGAGGAATATATAAGTTATTTCTCCCGCCTTCCTAGCGTGCCTTCGTGGTGCACGCTGGGCCGGTATTCCAGAGGTCCGTGGATCGATTCCCGGCGAAGGCGTTGCTAATTTTTCATCTTGCCTACTTCCAAAAAAATATCTAATGTCTCTACAATTTTATATAAAAATAATATATTCAATGTTTGGCAATGCTATTATTTTATTTTATTTTTTCTAAAATTAAAAATTTTTTATTCACAAACTGTATGATTTGAAAGCGAGCAGTGGCAGCACCTTTCGACCTAAAGCAGATTTTTATATCCAGCGGGCGAGACTATTGCCCCTCGGAAAAATGAGGGCGAAAAATAGCATTTTCTGAGCTTTTATTTAATACCTCGACTGGTTAAAGTTTTATGAAGAAGGGTCGAAATAGCTTCCCACGAATTTTTGGAATGCGGGGTACTTCTCTGGAAACTCAACACCCCACCGTTCCGGAGGAAATAAAGCCACAAGCAATGAAACAGACGAGAAAAGATTTTAATAGTACAGATATATAAAGCAATTCCTATAACTAATAAATGTTCTAAATACTTTAACTTAAACACTGTTCTTTTGTTAAAGCCACGTGTTAATATGCAAAAAAATAACGCCATAAATTTCTGAATAAAAATTGATATTACTGTCTACTGATTTCAGCAGAAAATATAATAAGCGATGATTTTTAAAAAACATTTTTTGTTAAACTTGTAGAGTTGATAGGCAATACGTATTTTTTGGAAGCGGGAATCATGA